TTGTAAGTAGCTACTCCATGTCTTGAATTTATTATTATTATTGAAACATGTTCAATCTACTATATATAGATTCTACCTCTTCTTACACATATGATTCAATAAAATCTGTGCATTCATCATTGCAATACGTTTCTCATTATGCAAACCATCTGTATGTATTCCCTTAAATGAATTTCCCCAAAATGTCGTTTGTTCCAATGGAACATATTCAATAAAATCTTCATACTTGGCAATTTCTCTTCTTATAATAGTATTGGTTAGTGCAAAAATCAATTCTGGACCCACTCTTGGATCATGTGATGGTACAACCTCTCTCCATAAGATTCTTAATTTTCTATTCTTTACATGCCATTCATTGACCAATTTAAAGAATTGAGAAACGAGGGGAGCAAAACTATCAAAAATCCACTGAGTATCAAATGTCTTAAATCCTCCAATACCATAATGACCAGCCATTTCATGAAAAGTAAATGTCATTACTGCCACATCTGATTCCAGAGCAATATTTGTTAGTTCATTCCTAGCTGCTTCCAATTCTAAAATACTTTTAATTCCACCCCACTTTTGATCAGGGAATGCATGAGCTAGTCCTCTACTTTTTATAATAAACTTGTCATGTTCCACTACACAATATCTAAGATTAGCCTTTTTTAATTTTCTACCATTAAATTCTCTGAGGAATTTAAATTTTTGAGAGACTGAAGGATCATATTCTATTAACCAATCGAGAATTCGAGAAAATAATTCATCCACTGATGAATCTCCAAAGAAGGCAATCCTCTTACCATGAAAACAATTATGTACTTCCTGAGCACTATAAATGTAATAGGGATGAGTTAATGCTTCTCCTGAATGTGTAGACATGTCTGATCCATGAATTGGTACATATACTTGATTTGTTCCAATTGTATTAAATAGTAACTGTTGATTATTATCATTATTTTGCATTTTACAAATAATATTATCACAATTATTTCCATAACTAGATCTAATCCACAAACCAAATTTTTCATCAAAAATCTTTTTAGCAAGTCTTTGGTAGGGATCCTGTAAATTGTCTCCAAATAATTGTAATTGTAATAATGTTTTAAACTTGGCATATTCCTGTATAACATAATTTCTATGTGATTCAAATGAATCAGATGATGATGAAATGGATTCTTTTCTTTCCAAACTAAATGGAATTCTTGCAATTTGAATGCCAAAACTTTCAGAAAAATCAAAACTTGGACTTGAATATTGTTTAGCAGAGAAACAATGGTGCATCATTCTAATATCTACTTGAAATTCTCCTCCTTTCAATCTTGGAAGAAAAAATTGTCCAATATAAACTCTCTTATTTCTTTTTGAAGTAAATTGTTTGATATCAATGAAAATATTTTCCCGATCCAATTGTGTTTGTTCAATATCATCAATTTCATTGACATATTGTTTTATATTTTCATTAAATTGTCTAGTTTCCACTATTGGAATAAATTTTGTAAAAGAGACTGCCATACCAGTATCATAATCCCCAAAATTTGTAGTATTTACAATGGTAGGATAGTATTCACTCTCCTTTTCTACAATTCTTGCATGAAATAATTGAAAATAGGGTGAATCCAAATCATATCTATCAAAACTTTCAATTCTCAAAAAATAGACATGTTCCATTGCACTCTTAAATGGTCCAAATACTTTCACCAATCTAGTATCTAAATGTTTTTTCGAACACTCATAATGTGCTTTTCCAATCATTGTTTTTGAAATTGAACCAAGTTGTAATATATTTGAATTTGTATCAATTTGTCTCTTCAATGAATACTTTTCAAAGTACTCTGTATCATTGTAATAATATTTAAAAGGTATGGGTTGAATTAATTGGGCTGAGTTTAGTAGTGATGATGATGTGGTGGTGGTGTTAATAGTGCCCCTATCTGATAGTAATATAACTACTTTTGAATGAGTTTCAGCAATTCTTTTAAATTTAATTTCCTCCCAGAATGGTATTTCCTCCCATTTCAAAATTCCTTGAGCAAACATGAAGAATGTAGTAACAATTGAAAATATAGAAATTGCTATGGTTATGAGAATTTGTAATTTAGAGGTAGAAGAAGACAATGACGATGATGGATTGTAGAAATTATTGTCATCATCATGATGACTTTTGTCACCTATTGTCATGGAAAATAATTTGGAAAATTGTAGAGTCAATCGATAAATTATTGTTTGCATGTTGAGGAGATGAGATGTATTCTCATTATTTAATGTATTTTTTTTTCTGTTTCGCTAAACAAATTGATAAAAAGAGTAACCCATTTCTTAATACTATTCACTATTTAATAACTTTTAAAGATTCATTGTCAATTTTATTTTAAAAATGGACGCACAGTTTGCTCACAAAGGCTAACGAACAAATTTGGTTTCATCTCTCTCATATATTTATGCACACATAAAAACAATTGCTGTGATGATAACACTTGCCACCAGTTGGATTTTCTCCTTTGTATTTGTGCAGGCATTTCAATTCTTTTGTCCATCATCATCACAACATTATGAAGTAAAACAACAACAACCAACATCATCATCATCATCAATAGAAAAACAGGAATATGAAAAAGGAAATAGTAATCATCTTCATGCAAATTCCGATACTGCTGATAGAGATGAGGTTGCACTTCCTCCGACACAACAACAACAACACTTGAATAGAAGAAGTGTTTTTTCTTCATATGTATCGAGTGATGGTGGTATAACAATGGTTACTACTAAGAATAATGAACATCTACTTCACCGTATTTCATTGAGGGAGTTATATAGTAATTTATTTTCAAAATTCAATGTGTTAATCACAAATTTAGGAATTTTAGGTGTAATTTTATTACTAGTTTATTTAGGTCATACAAAAAATCCACTCCTATTCGAAACAACTGAAAAGGTCTATTCTAGGGATTTATTTATTTCAATTTGTGTTGCATCTTTAATTTGTGGAATTTTAACATTGACAAGGAATAGTGATGAAACAGTTGTAACAATTTTATCAAGAGAACAATCAGAAGAGTGGAAAGGATGGATGCAACTTATTTTTCTACTCTATCACTACTATAATGTACAAGAAATTTATGCTCCAATTAGGTTATTTGTTAGTTGCTATGTCTGGATGTCAGGATTTGGGAATTTTTCATATTTTTATAATAGTAAGGGAGATTTATCCTTAAAAAGATTTTTACAAATGTTGTGGAGATTAAATTTCTCTGCTGTTGCATTTTGTCTAGTTACAGGAAATAGTTATTTCCTCTATTATATTGTACCACTTCATACCATGTATTTTCTAATGATATTTATTGTGATGAGAATTGGACAACATTTGAATGAAAGTTTCCTTTATATTCGAATCAAATTAATTGCTAATTTATTAATTATTTATGCTATTTGGGAAACACCTGCACTGTATCGTTTAGTTTTTGCAGGACCTTTTGATTTGTGGAAGCAATATTTGTGGAATTCCAATTTGGATTATCATGATTTTTATTTCAGAACTTATCTCGATCATTACTCTGCATTTTTTGGAATGCTATTTGCTTTGAATTTTGATTCTTTGAAAGAATTAATGAATAATATCAATAAGAGTAGCTATAGAATTATCATTTCTACTGTTCTAATTATTTTAACCACTACCATGATAGCTATATGGTGTTACATTTATTTCCCACAAACAAAAACAGTATACAATTCATTTCATCCCTATTTTAGTTGTGTTCCAATAATTGCCTATGTTTACTTGAGAAATTCAACATCATTACTAAGAAGTTACTATATGAAGTTTTATCAATTTATTGGAGTTGTAACAATGGAGACTTATCTTCTTCAACATCATTTATTAATGACTGATAATGCTAAAAGTATTTTAGTAATAAGAGGAATGAAAGAATTTCCACTATTGAACAGTATTCTGTTTTCCTTATTATTTATTTTTCTATCTTATCAACTCTATGATGTTACTATCAAGTTGAGAGATTGTTTATTTACAATGATTTCTGATTGGGCTAGATTTGGAATATTTTTTGGATATTGTTCAATAATGTACTTGTTTACCTATTTACTACAAGATAGTATTTTAAAAAGGAATAGTTTATTCTTGATCATTGTATTCATATTCATACTGACATTCATTCAATTGATTGGATTGGGAATATATTCATACTTTTCGCCTCACATTTCCAAAAAACATCTTTCATTAATACTGGTGACACTATGTGGAGGTGTAATATTGTTCCTATTAATATTCAAACATGTTAATAGCACTTCATATTCCCAAAAAGAGGTGAATGGATCATTGGAAATAGTTATTATCAAGGATTTTTAGTAATTTGTAGTTCTTTAGCAATTATATTTAGTGGAGATTCACTTTTTGGAATATTTCATGTTGCTTGCAGATTGGCGACAAGGAATTTCACTTCCAAAAACATTATTCCAAGCTCTCTTTAAAGTTTATGGTGCTGCTTATTAAAACATAGCAAAGATTTTCTCAAATCTTTAATGTTTGGTAAATGATTTAATATTTAAATTGTACCTTCAGTTGTTTATCATTTGAATAATATTTAGACAAGTAATTTCAATTTTAGATTTAAAAAGTGTAAATCCTCTTTACAATTCTTCATACTACTACAGCTTTTCTTTTTTTTTCAAATTGTTGACACTTTAACAAGATTTATTAAAATGAGTTTAATAAATGAATGAACAATGTTTAAAACATTTTAGTCATTAATGAATTCAAATACAGGACCATTATTAGGATTAAAGGAAAATGCAGGATATAATTCTGGATTATTTGGTACGCCAGTAAATGCTGTACCATTTTGAGAACCATTAATCTTGTACGATATTTTCCCATCCTTCAATTCACATTCAATAATTGAACCATCTTCAATTTTTCGTCCAAAATAATTAATTCCAAACCCGGCATTGGAAAATATAACTCCTTTTCTGGTATTTAAAAAGTAACCAGATGGATAGTGTAGACGGTCAAGTTGCATAGTTCGAGGTGCAAAACCAATATATAAATCAGTGCAGTTAGAAATTAATTTAACTTTAAATAAATTGGTGCTAGTTCCTAAAACACCTGCATAAGGTTGTCCATTATAAATATGTATTCCCCTAACTCTAGTGGAAGAGTCCATTTGAATATTTGATGAACAATACTTTGCATCAAATTCAACTTTATATCCACAATCAATTGAATATTTTGATTTTAATATCTTCTTTCCATTTATAGGTAATATTTCATAAATAGGTGTTAATTGATAATAAACAATTTCCTCAATAAAATCATTCAAATCATGTTCATTTAAACTTGATAATTTAGATGAAATATCAATTCCTCTTAAATAATTTAAAATTAAATGAAATTGTTCATTGGGTCTATCAATAAAGAATGAATTATCATCTTCCTCTGCTGTTGGATTAAATAAATCATTAAAATAACCAGTAAAGAATGTATCGTTAACACTTTTTAAAGTTACTAAATTTGTGGCAAATATTTTACCACCAACATTAAGTTTTACAACTTGATTCTTTCCTAATTTAGTTTCAATGGTTGTGCTTGGTGATAATTTTGTTTCCAAATTAAATATTCTTTCTTCACGTTCTTTCAAGTCTTTGACAATTTCTTTGGTTTCTTCTTCAAATTCTTTTTTAATTCTTTCTTCTTCTTGTTTCAATGTTTCTTCTTTTTTAGCGAGATCAGATTCCTTCCTATTTAATTCAATTTCCTTGTCATTTAAATCCTTTTCAACTTGCATTAATTTCACTGATTGTTTTTCATAGTGATCAAATATGGAATCTAATTGATCTTTTAGAGTTAATGATTGATTTCTTGTTTGTTCCAAATCTTTTTTAATTTGTGAATCGTCATAAGCAGAAGAACTAGTTGCATATGATTCGGATGTGTATGATGATGGTTGTTTGGTTTTCTTCTTTCCCATTTTCTTTCGATTGTTGTTACGAATATTGTTATGATTAGTTAAGATTTAGTTAGGTTATGAATTCCCATCTTTAAAATAACCACAGAATAAATAAAATGCACTATCAGGAGTTTAATTCAATACTCTGCAGCAAACTTACTCAAAAGGTTGGTTTTGTTGGTGTATTGACCTGAAAAGTCATCTTAAAATCCCCGTCATCAATGGGGAAACATAATGTCTTAACCGATGGTGAGTTGGTCGAGTGGTCTAAGACGACACGTTAAGGTATTATTAATACCTTGGGAATTTGAGGATTTCAATAATGATGCTCAGATTGTACAGATTAGACTCGGAGAGAAACATGCCTTATTCTTGTCCAAGTTGGGAAGAGTTTTTTCATGTGGAAGTAATAGTGCCGGTCAATTGGGTAATCCTTTGAGAAAGGAATGTAACAACCCTGTGGAAATATTACAGAGCTTGTTTGTGGAGCCCTATCAAAATGATCTAAAAATTGTTTCAACCTTTTCATCAAGTGTGTTTTAGTGTAAATGCTCACAACAGGAGTTGTCCCAATACCAATACTGGAGTGTAGGTTTTATTAAGGACTGGAGTTTCCAATAGTTCATCAAAGTGCTCATTTCAAAACTCACTTTTGGAAATAATATGCCTTATGTGGTCATGGTGTTCCATTCCCGCTCAAAAAAAAATGACAAGTTGTGATGTTAGTGTGGTGTTGCAGAATTGTAGAGAAAGGCTTTCTTTTTTACCATCATCAGCCTTTGATAATTTAATAATACAACAAGAAGAAGAAGAAAAAACATCATCATCATCTTTATATCATAGTCATCATTATTTTGGTGCTAATTCTTTTAAATTATCTTCATCATCCATGAATATTCGGAACATGATGGTTCATCCATTTTCATTATGTATTTTATTGATCATTTCGATAATGATGATACAACCATCATTATCTCATGAAATATCATCAACAACAATAACTAGTAGTAGTAGCAGCAATACAATAGATAATAGTCTTCGAACAAGTATAACAAGTATTGTACCATCAAATTTATTTATTAATTTAATAGCAACACCACAAACAAGTGGTAAATCTAGTAATTCAACATTTACATTTAATGTTGTTCCTATTGCTATAGGAGACAAGACTGATGTTACTTGTTTAGAATGTACATTACATGCTCCTATTATTTATTTAGTTATCAATGATTATGGAATTTCGTTTCAATATCAACTTGTTACTAATAATCAATGCCCTAGTGATTTTATCAAGTATTTTAATCAAAATAATTATTCTGATCCAGATGCTTTCTTTACTGAAACTCTTTCTTATTCACCACAATATTCTATTGGTAATTTGGTAAATGTTACTTCTAGTCAAGATTTATTTACAATTTATGGTGTTTTATACAGAAATAATGAAAAAATGAATTCTGGAGTTAATTGCGTCAATATTAAATATTCAAATAATGAAATTGACACCATTGCAATTAATTTGGCTGCCAATGGATCGTGTCCTCCAATATCATCATCTCCATCATGTAAATTATCTTCTGATACCTTATTTATTGTTGAACAATTTGTTTATATTAAGAAAAAGTAATATTTTTATTAAACTTGTTTTATTTATTGTGTGATATTATTAAAATATATTATTCTTAAATATGATTAATATTTAATTTTATTCTTGGTTATTGAAATAGTCATTAAATAACTGGTTAACATGTTCAATTGAAAGTGAATATAAATTAGTATTAGCATTACTATTAGAAAGTGTATTATTATTGCTACTCCTATCTTCATCCTTCTTCATAATTGGTTCAAATATGGTAAATAAAATATGAATAAGTTGTTGTAAACTTGGACTCTGATAACCGTATTGATTAGCAATCTTTGAAATGATAGTATTCTTAAATGTTGAACTACATGATAAGAAGAGTAAAATATCACTTTCCAAATCAAAAGATAATAATCTATAAATAATACATGCCATATTAAGATAATCTTCATGAGTATTATTTGATTTGGCATTAATTTTCAAATCAGTTAAAACCATTCTATCAACTTGATCATTATTTATGGAAATTAAAATATTAGTCAACTTTAAATTTCCATGATATTGATGTGAAACAATTTCAAATAAACGTTTTGTAATTGATTTTAATAATCTGTGTGAAATTGGTTTTCTTAAATTAGTAATAAGTTGATGTAAATCAATCATATTAGATTGATATTCAGTTACAATACAAAATTGTCTTCCATTAATTGGTGAAAACCATTCAAATCCATCCAAAATTGGAAGTATATGTTTCTTATTACTTAATTTAATCATATATTGAATAAATGTATTTAAATCTAATTTTGAATACATTTTAATAACAACATTTTGATTACTTGTTAAATCTTTAAATAAATGTGATTCACTATTAAATGATAATTCATTATTATTACTACTATTATTGGAATAATTATTAATAGTATTATTATTACTATTATTATTAAATTGATAAGTGTGTAATTGTTGATGTTGATTAAATAATTTTAATGGTCTAATTAATTGATACTTGTTTTGAATTAAACTTGTTGAATTAATTAATTGTTGTTGTTGTTGTTGAGGTTTTACAATTTCATTCAATGGTTGATAACCCAATTCTTCATCTAATTTGTTAAATAATTGATTATCCATAAGTGATGATGATGATAATGACATTGAATTAAATTGTGCTTCCAAATCAATTTCTTGTGTTTTTGTTAATTCTACAAATGGAATTGTATTATTATTACTTGAATATTGATTATTTAATGTTTGTTTTACAATAATTCTATTTAAATTTGGATATTCTTTTAAAAATTCAAATGAATCATTATCTAAATCAAGTAATGTTTGACATTGTTCATCATAATAATAATAAATATTTTCATTCTTTACAATATTACCATAAATAGAATTATGAATTGCTGTTTTAAGCTCCATAGCATTTAATATATTATTTAATTTAATCTTTTTCTTAATTGTTGTATTCTTTCCATTCATACAAGTAGCTGTTATAAATAGTAATAGAGTTTTTCTTGCATAATTATTATTATCAATATTATTACTATTATCATTATTTAATAGTATGATATTAGAGTTATTATTATTGGTAGATATTAAATTACTATTATTAGAAGGTGAAATAGAAGTTAATAATGGTGGATCTCTTAAATATTTAACAATTGAATCATGTTGATGATCCAATGCTAATTGTAATGCATTTTTACCATTTAAATTAATGGAATGAACATCAGCATGATATTGTTCTACTAGTAATTTAACCAAATCAAAATGTCCCTTTTTAGATGCACACATTAATGGAGTATAACCATATTTAGCATCTCTAACATTGGCAGATTCACCACATGATAATAAAAATTTAACAACATCTAAATGACCAGTAAATGATGCATTATGAATAGGTCTATTACCATTCTTGGTTGGTATGGTAAAATCTGCCTTTTTCTTTACTAATAATTTGGCAATTTCCAAATTATTATATCGACATGCCAAACCAATAGGTGTCCAATTAATTTTAGTTCCCCTAGCATTAATTAAATCTTGAGATTGATTAGGATAATACAAATCAATCATTTCAATTAGAAATTGTGCCATTTGAGTATGTCCTTTCTGTGAACACCAATGAAGTGGTGAATAGGACCACTCATCAGGTTCACGTATTACTAAATATTCTCTATTTTTCATAATCATATTTTCAACAGTGAATAAATCATTCTTTTTAACAGCTTTGAAAAAGAATTGATTCAATGGTTCTCTAATATTCTTTCTCTCTAATTCTCTAATAAATAATTCAACTATTTGTGAATGACCTTTTTCATAGGCCCAATATAATGCTGTATCTCCTTCTTTACTTTTTATGGAAACATCCGCACCACGTGAAAGTAAATATCTGACAGCATCAATATGACCTTCCTGAGATGCCATCATGAGTGGTGTAAATTGATCTTTACTATCTTGAACATTAACATCTTCTCCACCAAATTCAACTAACAATTTCAATACTTCCAAACTATTATAAAATGCAGCTGAATGAATAGGTCTATTACCACTTGTAGTTGTGAGAGACATGACACTTCCTGCTTGTAATAATAATTTAGCAACATGTGAATGATTATATTTAGCAGATAAACCAAGTGGTGTCCATTTAGTTCTCAATGATTTTCTATTAATTAAATGTTTAACTATTTGTGGTGAAAATTGTTCTTGTGCAAATTTAATTAAAATTTGTGCTGTTTGATAACAACCCTTCTGAGCAATCCAATGAAAACAACTATATCTCCATTCATCATCTTCAACACAATTTAAATAATTTGGATTTAATTTAATTAATTGTTGGACGAGAATGTAATTATCCTTCTTTACATGTCTAATAAAATATGGAACACATAATTGTTGTAATGTTAAATTATTATTCAGCTGTTGACTTGTTAAATTATAATCCAATGTATTGCTAGTAGTTGTAGAAGTAGTAGTAGTTGTAGATAAATTAGTAATAGTAGTAGAGGTAGTATGATGATTATTTTGATTATTATTTTGATTAATGACATATAATAAAGATTGAGTATTATTCTTTAAAAATCTACAAACATCTTCATTATTAATTTTAAAAGCCAAATCTCTTGGATTTTCATTACTAAAATTAAATAAAGTTTCATCTGCCAACATGTCATTAATTAATGAAATGACTAATTCTAAATGACCTGATAAAATTGATAAATGTAATGGTGTATTACCATTTAAAGAAGTATGTCTAATATTAACATCTTCACCATATTCAATTAATAATTTTACCATTTTAATATTTCCATGATAAATTGCTAATGTATGAATAGGTCTATTATTGGAAATATTTACAATTGAATAATCTGCTCCTTTTTCTAATAATAATTTCATCATATCATATGCATTAGATTGTTCATTTAATATTAATTTACTATTTATGGAATTATTTATGGATGGTGTAATAAATTTAGTTAATAATTGACCACTATGTTTACAAAGTAAATTTAAAGGTGTCCATTGATTAATATTTGTTGTTTGATTAATCCAATCTTTTAATTGATCTTTTCCAAATAATCTTTCAAAATTATCAATTAAATAATAAAATATTTCTCTATTGACAGTTTGACATGCAATGTGAAGTGGTGTATATTTCCATTCTTGACATGATGTTGTTTTTAATAAAAATCTACCAATCTTCTCCATTAAAATGTCACACGTCAATACATCATTTTGTTCAATACATTGCATGAAATGATCAATGAGTGAATTTAATAATTTCATTTCATTAGTATTCTTTTGTATATCAATATCTTCATTAATTGTATTATATTCAATATTATTTTCTATATTATTGTTGCTATTATTATTAGATATATTTCCATTTATAGTAGTAGTAGTATTATTATTATTATTATTATTATTATTATTATTAGTAAATAATTCAATATTATTTAAAGTATTCTTTTTACAAATATTTAACATGTTAATCATTTCATCTCTTAAATAATTTGCCAATTCAAAATGTTGATTTCTATAACTCCAATATAAAGCATCATTTCCATATATATTTTTATGAGTTAAAATGGAAACTAACAAATCAATATTATTATTTCTATATAAAGAAATTAAATATTCAAAAACATCCATTTTGTTCTCTTTTGATGCAATAATTAATAAATTATCACCATTACAATCATTTGAATTTAATAATAATTCAATTTGTTGTTGTAAATTGAGTGATGAAAATTTAGTCAATTGTGGAATGAATAATCTTACAATTTCCAAACAATCATTTCCAGAATAAAGTGAAATTTGTAAAGGTAATTTTCCACTTTTACTTTTTAAAAGTGATAATTTTGGATAAGTTTGTACAAAATATTTTACAATATCAAAATGTCCATATCTACATGCTATCATTAATGGTGACATTTCATGTATTGAATTGGATTTTAACATTAAATATTCTAATATGGATATATTTGGAAAATTATCTTTAAATATACTTATTAATTCTTCTACTATATTTAAATGTCCATATTGACATGCCAAATGTAATGCATTATATCCAAATGTTAAATGACTTGTTGTAGATACATTTTTATTAAATGAATCTCTAACAAATAATAATAAACATTTTAATATATTGTTGCTATTATTATTATTAGAAGAAGAAGAAGAAGAAATATTATTATTAGAATTATCATTAGTAGAATTATTAGAATTGTTATTATTTGTAAAATCTTGTAATGTTCCATCTCTAATATTTCTAAAGAATTTACTCAATTGTGTTAATGAAAAATCTAAAATACTAATACTACTACTACTACTATTATCTACATAATGATCAGAGTATTCTTCATTGGAATCTTCTTCTCCCATAATGTCATTATAAAAGCGATGATGATTTTGATGCTGATTACCAATATTAGAAGTATTATTATAATGATTATCATGATGATGGGATTTAAAACTATTTTTAGCGTCCTGATGAAGAATTTGATTATTTGTATAATGATGATCGGAATGAAAAACATTTCCATCATCACTCATATTTTCATAATGATTTGATGATGAAGATGCATCCAATGATAATGGTGATAGACATGAAGCTAATTGTTCTTCCTCTTCTTTTTGATGATTGAAATTAGAGTTAGTAATAGATGTTGTTGTATTAGAAGTTGAAGCAGTAATAGTATTATTAGGAGTACTCGTTGTATTTGTTATTAAATTTGTTGTATTTTGTTGTTGCTGTTGTTGTTGATAATGTTTAAATTGGAGACAAGTTAGTTGATTGTAAATTCTTGAATTGAAATTGTCAAAATTTCTATCATTTGATTTGAAACATTTTAATAGTAAATCCAAATCATATTCAATATTAATTAATTCATCGAATTTAATACAATCATGATTGTCTTGATAGGAAATGTTAGAATCTGTCATTTTTTTATTGTCATTTGACGTTTGTAATTTTAATGGAGATTGAAGTTTTACTGCAGCAGAAAATTGTTAATGTAGATGATGAATATGATATGGTTGTTGCTGTTTTTTTGATAGGAAACGAAATTGATGTATTTTTAATAGTATTAATATGTAATAGTTTTATCCATTTTTGAACCATTTAAAAAAATATTGTAAAGATTATAATATTCAATAGATAATACTACAACTCAGTACTAATAATACAAGGTTCATAATTCAAAACCTTACTCGCATTCAACAAGTTCAACCTCAGAGATGAAACTAAAAATACTTTTCTCTTTTCTGAGGTTGAACAGATGGACAACTTTAATATCCAAGCAATTTCTTGAAGCCTATCGAAAAAGAAGCAGAGAGAAAAAATGTCATCTCAATCCAATGAAGCTAATAATCAACATGATGAATGTTGTGGTGGTCATCATCACCATCATCAAAAGAATAAGCAACAAGCAGCTTCTTTAAATATCAATGCAAAGCCTTTTACTTTTTCCGAGACATCAGGTTCATCAGCTGAACAAGCTCCTAAGAAGAAACATTCTAGAAAGCCATTCAACAAGATTCCAAATAATAATAATAATAATAACAATGGAATGGTTCAATCATCAGAATCATCAACTACTACTAGTAGCAGTGGAAATGTGAATGAAAACAATCAAACACATTCTCAAGAAAAGCCTTTAAAGAAGAAGCCTTTTGCTAAGAACAAACCAAATCATCAACAAGTCATTGATGAATCTAATCAACAACCACCACAAGGTCAAGAATCTAATTCAACACCATCATCATCATCCTCTTCTACTAAACCTAAGAGAAATAACAAACAAGCCTTTAAAAAGTCGAGTCATGAATCAGCCACCACTTCATCTGTTGTAGATAGTTCCAACAATAATTCATCAGCCTCCAATGCCTTTTCTTCCAACACCACTAGTGTAAATAATAGACCACCACGTAGTGCTAGAAAACCAAAGCCATCAGCCACTACAACTCCTATCAATGATCAGCAACAAGAAGAAGGAAATACTGTATCATCACCAATTCAACAACAAGTAACATCTTCTACTGATGGTTCTGCAGTTTCAAAGAGAAGACAAAAATTCCAAAATCATCCTCATGCTAAAACTTTTGTTAAACCAATTGTTGCTGATGATAATTCTGATACCATCAGTACAACAGCAAGTGATGTGAGTAATAGTACTGCAACAAGTGCTTCCTCTTCTAATAACAATAAGAAAAAGAAGAAGAATAACAAACCAAAAGTTGAAAAACAAGATTCGGAACAAAAAAAGGATTCTAAAAAGAAGAATAAGAAGAAACATCATGATAATGATGAAGATATGTTTTGGTCTCATTCTTTTTCAAATGCTGGTGCCTTCTCTACCAAGACAACAAGAACTGTTTATGATAAATTGAAAGCAGCCAAATTGACTGAAGAGGAAGTTGAAGCATTACCATTGCAAGACAAAATTATGTATCAATTGACAAAACAAACTTATGACTGTATGGTTTGTAGTGATAACATTTTAAGACAACATCATACTTGGTCTTGTACTGATTGTTATAGAGTTTTCCATTTACAATGTATCAAACGATGGGTTTCAGAAAAAGTTGAAACTGAAGATAGAAATCATTGGAAATGTCCAGGTTGTAATTCTGCAAAAATTGTAAATATTCCAACAGATTATTTATGTTTTTGTGGAAAGATTGCAAATCCAAAGGTTAATTTGGAAGTTATTCCTCATTCATGTGGAGGTTTATGTGGTAAAGTTAGATCTTGTCCTCATCCTTGTACTGATTTCTGTCACCCTGGTCCATGTAAAGAATGTGATCTCACTAGAGATGTTAAATGTCATTGTGGAAAGGAAACATTCTATTCTATCAAGTGTAATGATCCAAATTATAAGAATGGTGCATCTTGTGGAAGAGTTTGTGGAAAATTACTTTCTTGTAGAAAACATACTTGCCCAAATCCTTGTCATCAAGGTCCTTGTGAACCTTGTAAGGAAATAATTAATGTTGAATGTTATTGTGGACATTCCAATTTACAACAAGGAGTTTCATGTCATACTTATAGTCATTTGAATACTTCAATTGCTCATCGTGAATATAATTTATTTGATATCAAGAAGGGTGAAGATGATTCAACAATTTATAGAACCTATAGTTGTAATCAAACTTGTAAGAAACTTTTACCATGTGGTCAACATTGTTGTGATAGAGTTTGTCACTATGGAAAATGTATTGGACACAAGATTTCACAATGGGTTAAAACAACAAGTCAAGAAGAAGAGGAAGGTATCGATGAGTATATCAAAAAGAATGGTTGTTATCAACAATGTAGAAGTATTTTGAAATGTGGACATTTCTGTACTTTGAAATGTCACCCAAATCAAATCAAGTGTATGAAATGTAATGCTCAAGTTGAAGTTTATTGTAAATGTGGTAGAAAGTTTGAAAAGAGAACTTGTGATGGTAAGAGCAGAGAGGAGTCTGATGTTATTTTCCTTGACTGTGATGAAGAATGTAGAAAGATTCAAAGAGTTAAACAACTTGCTGAAGCATTCCAAATTGATTATGATAAGTTTGAATTGCCAGAATATACAAATGAACTTACTGATTTTGCAAGAAGAAATTTGCACATTATCAAAAATTGGGAATTTGAATTTGATGTCTTGTTAACATCTGATAACAAGAGAGCATCTAAACAATTTACACCAATGAAGAGAGAACGTAGAGCTTTACTTCATGAATTAGCAGAACATTACAAATTTAGTTCAGTTTCAGTTGATGCAGAACCTAACCGTTCAGTTATTGTTACATTGGGTACTCAATCTAAGAGGCCATCAATTTTATTGAGTGAAGTTGTTACTGATCCTGAGAAATTGAGAAAGTTAAAGGAAAAGATTATTGAACAAGAAGAGAAGGAAAGAAAGGAAGAAATTAAGAGATATAGAAAATTCAAGTCAAACAATCAATCCAATTCTCCAATTGATGAAGATGAATGGACAAGTGTTAAGGGTAAATCATCATATCAACAAGAAGAAAAGGAAGATGTTCTTTCTCGTATTGTACATGCAGGAAATAATGCAAAGAATATCAAAGCCCAAGATGTTGATAAGAAATTATTTACAAATTCATTCGGATCATTTATTGAACAGGATCATCACCGTGATAGTAATGAACAACATGAACAAGAACCTGTCAAGGTTGGAGACACTTTAAATTGGGCCAATGAAATGGAGGATGAAGATTCTAAAGTTTTGGAAGAGTCCTTGTAGAGTAAAGATACACTCGGTTAGTACAAAACAAATAAATTATTTGTAATCGCGTTCTAAAAATAATTTTTTTCTCGCGCCGCTAGTTTCGCGCATGTTGATGGCTTCAATTAATCTAAAAAAAATATTAAAAAATACTCGTCATGATGGCCCAATCGTCAAACAACAACTTGGAAGTTAAAGCTGTGGTGTATAATCTTGGAAAATTGTCCTTGGACAGCAATTACAACGATAACCCTTCCAATTATTATAAAGAGTTGGTTGATCGCGCTCTTCAAAACTGCAAGAATATTGAACCTAACGAGAAAATTGATAATTTGACTTGTAATTTGGCCCTGTTTATTGATGATGAAGGTATTACAAAACAAGTCAGAAGGAGAAAGGTCGGAATTACTCCTAACAGAACAGTTTTTTCTACCTTTTATTTCGTAGAAAGTCCGGGTTATCAAAATGCAAATGAACCTACTTCCCACTTTTGGTGGCTATCAGGAAACACTATTGTATATAAATGTAATCAAAAGGGTGGTGAGGGAGGTACCACTGAATTCACCATTGTTGCAAGTCAACTTGAAGCTGCTAACAATCAAGAAGTAACCAAATCTGGATGGATTTTGCATCATGATATGGGAGTGGACGTGATTGTTGTAGATCATATTATAAGCAGTCTTTTCGATCCAAAAGATGGTAAGAATACTCCAAAGACAAGTAAGAAGGTCACCAACAAGAAGTCAACTGTCCGTGTTGAAGAAAACAATGAAAAGAAGAGCTCAAAGAAAAGTAAGAAGGCCTCCAAGAAGTCAACCACAAACAAGTCAACCAAAAAGGCCACCAAGAAAAGAAAGAGAAATGAAGATGATGACGATGATGTAATAATGAATTCTCATAACGATAATATAATTGCAGTTCCAAACACTGCTCAAGTCAATGAGAATTCTAACGAAACAAAAGAAGAATCATTTTTATTAAGTGATGATGTTAATGACGGTGATGCATTAACATCATCCCAATTGGAACTAGAAAGGGACCAAACAATTGCTATTCTAGATAATATTCAAACAAGTTTTCCAACCAAGATGGTTTCTGATTTCATCTCAGTTCGCAGTTTAAACCAACAAGAAAAGAACGAAACTAATATTCATTCCTCCTCTGGTTCATTAATTCCAAATAGACCATTTTGGCCAACTGCATCTGGTAGTGAATCTGATCATGAATTGACTGAATTATGTTATTGTTCGGATTTCTTTTCATGTGAAAATGATTGTTGTTTGGAACTAAAAACGAACCAAGATCTAAATAGTGAAATTATTTAGAATGCTTTTTGTAAATTAGTTTTTATTGTAATCATTAAGTTCCACAACATTCAAATTATTATAAAATTAGAGTTTGAAATATATGCAAAGAATATCAAGAGTAACGATTCAAACGGTTTTTCTGATGGTATGTCAAGTGTGTGTGAAATTTTTACTCAACTCTTGTGAATTTCAGCCTTCGTGAAATAGTTCACCAACAATCTTTTCACAAATGATGGAACAAACAGAGTTGTAAAGACTAGCATGTCAGTCAAGGAGAGTTTAAATCGAACTTGGGTTTCGAAAAACAAATTTTCCTATTCGATTTTGCATGAAGATATTTCACAAGTTGAATTTATATTTGAATTGAATGATTGGAATATGTTGTCAAAGAATGTAATCTAATGCAATTAACATCCTCTCAAGTATACTTCTCCAACAAACCTCCTTCCTCGTGTCCACAAAGATTTTTTGAAGAAATTGAGGAAGCCTTGAATAAAGCAACACAAAACCCCTTTTCTTTAATTCTCCATTAAGATGAGCCTTATTCGTTTACCCCTACATAATTCAACAAGTGTTTTTCTTTGTTTACGGGTTATGTAACAAGAAACAACAATTTCTCTTAAATTCAATTCCCTTAACCAAGAAACGAGCGTGTCAAATTCTATTCCATTGGTAGCTGCAATATCCAAAACTCTTATTTGTTTCATAAATGAGCTATTCAAAATACAGTCCAAGGCATCAACCAAAAAATAAATTCTCAAATGCCTAACATTTTTCAAATTACCATCATCAAACATTTTCATGGTCTCAATATTTGCCCAATGTGTAATTCTTAATTTTTTCAAATTTAACAATTCTCCTTTAGAAATATAATGAATGCCCATGTTATCAATCTGATCACTTAGTTCCAATGATTCTAGAGATCTTATTTTGGATATAAATTTAATATCATTTATATTAAAGTAAATAATAAGTAAATGTTTTAAATTTGATAGACATGTTAGTGGCTCCAATGAACATGATAATTGAATGTAAATATTGAGAGAAGTTAAATTAGGAACAGAGTTGCAAAATTGTTGGAATTGATAAAAATTTGATGGTGTGTAGTTGTTATATCTATTATTACGAAGAGTACAAGTTAATAGATTTTCCATTAATGGAAAATCTTTTGTTGATGAGATGTTCTGAATATCAAAGACGGTTAATTGTTTTAAATTGTTACCATTTAAATATTTGAAAGCAGCCCCTGATTCCCCTATGACAAAATTTTCAAGTAATGTTTGTTTTGAAAAATATTTACATATTAGTTCGTCGATTTCTGTTCCTAAATTCTCAGTCGGATAGTATTGGAAGGTTTTGAAATTAATGCCAGAATTGAGAATTGACGTAATCGTTTTTTCATGTAACAATAATCCGTCTAGAGATAGTGATGTTAAATTCGGGAACAATGTTGCATCAAAATCAACATTATGTTTCGTTTTGTTTTCGTGAATAGATAATTCAAGCTCTTTTAAATTAGAAATGGAATTAGGCTTAAGTATTTGTTTTACATTGTTATCGTTAATAGGATTACGAATAGAAAGGCTCCCAAGTGTCTGAAACCAATTTAAATCAACTTGCTTTAGCCTATTTGAACTCAACTTCAAGTTTTTTAGTTCTGTTAAACACTTCATCACTAATAAAACATCATTATTAGTTAACTTAACACAAGTAATCTCAAGACTTCTAATATTTGAATAATAATTCCCTTTAAAAGCAGAACTATAAAAATTTACAGTTTTAAAACTTGTTACTTTTGGAGATTGAATAATAGATTTGAACTGGGATTTTGTTATATCGTGTTGTATATCAAAATCTGTAAATAATAATGGTAAATCACCAATAGGTAGCTTCATTGTATAATTAAGTTTAGTTAAAATGTAGTAATAATATGTCTTAAATTCTTTACGAGCATTCGGAGAGAAACATAATTGTCTCCATAATGAACAAACAGAAGCAAATCTTATCATATCATTTTGGTCAAGAAATGGAATAATATTAAAAATAATAACATCATCATCAAATAATTGAAATTAGAAGAAAATCTCGTTCTAACATGCTCGGTTGTCAGCCGATTGAATAAAGGAAAATAGTGCAATTATTACAATATTTAAAATCGGAGTAAAACAATGATCACAGCAACAAGCATCCAAAAAATAGGAGAAAGCAGTAAAGCTGTTGCACTACCATAGCAGAGAGAATTTGCTTATGAACTTCTTCAAGTGATTAGAAATAGCAGCATTTTGGATTTTCAGATTTGGTAGACTTTGGTTTGGGCGAGTTTCAGTGCGTCCCGATTTTCAGACTTTCCACATCTTTAGTTGGTAACATGATGTTTATTATTGATAACATGTGTTACCGATTCCATTTTTTGGACACTTATTTCAATATATATTAATTTGACAATGACCAGATTCAATGTATCTATTAATCAAAAAATCGATAAAGAAGATCCAAAGAGATTACTATTCATGTTTTCATTGCAATCAATTCGGTTTATTTGCCATTTAAAAACCGATTGTATACAACACTCATATCTATTTGTCCTTTTTAACTTCGTGCACCTTCAAAATGTTTACAACTTGCTTTGCAAAGTTCCGCAGCCAATAGATAAATCCTATTTCGTTGTAAAGTTCTTTTTTTTCCTGGTCTCCACCATTTTTTTCTTGGTACGCAAATAATCATATTTTTAGAATTAATTTTTTGAATCACAAAATCACTTTAAAAAAAATTAACCTAACAACCAAATGGCCAACAGAAAGCAAGCTACCAAGAGAAAGGAATCACCATCCTCATCAGCAACCCCATCCGAAAAGAAGAGAAAAACTTCCACTAACAAGCAAGACACAGCAAGCTTGGAGAAGTTTTTAAGAGTTACTTCCGATGATTGTCCTACCTGTGATGAACTCATCCAAGCATTCAACAACAAGGAATATTTAGCAGGTGAATTCAAGGAACAATTAGATGAGTGTATTGATGAATATCTTGATTCTCCGGATGAAGAAGACTCTGTTCAAGTTAAACTCGGAATGACAGAATTTTCCAGAAAGCAATTTACTATTGATGCAGATTTTGATCATGTCCAAAACATGTATGTGTTTGCATACGACAATGGTGAAAATGGTAAGCGAAAGGGGATTACTTCAATGTCCAAAGTTACTGATAAGAAGAAGACAAATTGTTTCACTCAGTCTGCCAAATTGATTCAAGGTGCAAGAAGGGATGGACAATTGAAGATTGTTTTGGCAGTGTGTAAAACAAATTCAGATGTGGAACTTTATATTTCAGAAGAGGAATATAAAGTCAGTTGGACAGAAAAGAAGCAAGAGTCTGAGAAACTTACAAACGCCTTTGATCAACCAATCAATAATGAAACCTCATTACCAATAGTTCAAACAGATCCAATCAAGTCTTTAGAAGACTCTGAAAGAAGAGTTCAAGAACTCGAAGAAAAACTCAAACAATCCCAACAATTTTCCCAGTTTTTGTTTGGTTGGATGTGTTATTATATGCAATGGTATCCATCTCCACAACCACAAACAACCAATGATGAGTTCTTGCCAGAAAATGAATTAGGGTCCAATATTACAGAATTCTCAAGTAGATGGATTTCATCAGAATGCGTTAATGGGATGGATTTCTTTCGGCCAACTGTTCAAGAAAAGAAAGATGATGATCCTTCTCAACTTGCAGACGAACAAATGCCTGTCATGCCTTTCGCGTATGGTCAAACTCTTTAGAGATTAAATTTTAAAATAAGGGAAAATTCACTAACTAAATTGTTAATATTAAAATTAATTGCTTTATTTGAGAAGAAACATGACGATCTTTACGTCATCTCTTGTTGAGAAATCCGAAGGAACATTAACTGTGATATTCTTGAATTCCTCAGGAATGTTTTTGCCCTTCTTCCATGCTGTTGAGAATGGTTCCCCGAAAAGTGAGGCACTAGTGTCTGTGCTAAATAACTGGAATGCTTGGACAAGGAAATACAAATACAGAGCTTCCTTACTTGTGAACTTAACATTTCCCTTCTTCTTAAATGACACTTCTACTGAATTTGGAGCGACAAAAGCGACCGGTAATTGCTCTCCTGTCCACTTTTCCTTATTAGATGGTTTTTGGTCTCCATAAGCCAAATGTTTGCTACTTACTTCAATCACACTACCTTCACAAAACTCGATAATAGTGGATTGAGAAATAGCATGAATGAGTTTTTCCTTAATGGATTTATCCAAACCAACCTCTACAACATTGCTTTCAACTGCAGTTCCTTTGACGTTATCATTTCTTACTGGGATATATTGTGCCTTGATGAATCCCATTAAACACTTATGTGAAAGAACAACAGAGCTTCCTTTTCCATCATTTTCAATAGCACTAGAGTTATCAAACTGGGAAAGAGGAACAAAAGGACCATTTACACCACTGAAAGATATCAACCACTGAATTATTGATTTACCCTCAATTCCACCATAGTATTCACCTGATACACTTAATTTACCACCTACAATAGAATTTCCAGTAACAACAACATTTTTGATTGATGGATTGTGTGCTTGAACTGGGTTACTTCTGATATATGCTTCCTTTCCTTTAACACCATCATTTCTAATTGGTAGATATTCCAATTGTATTACTTTTCCAATATCTTTGGTTGTAACACTATACTGCATAATGTCAATCGCAACAACTTCACTCTTAGATCCATCTAAGCGTCTCCATCTTTTCATACTACTACCTTCTATTCCACCATAGTAAACAGACTCTGCTTGCAATACTCCATCTTCGAGAGGTGTAACTTGATCATTCTTTGCTTGTTTGAATTGAAGACTCTTAATGCATGGAAGAGCACCTTCAACTTTTGCAGATTTGAATGACACCTTTTCTCCAACCACGCCATCTTGTCTAGTTGGGAAGAACTCTAACAAAATTTGTTTTCCAATATCCTGTGTTCTACAACAATAACTAACCAATTCAGCACCAAGTACTCCTTCAGCAACAACTTCTGATTCCCTTCCTTCAGCAACAACAGAGAGAATAAATCTTGATTCACCTTCAAAACCTCCTGAATATGTGAATTCAGACTTGATTGTTTCGCCTTCAACAAAAGAACCAACAAGCTTACAGGTGCCTTCTGGTTTGGCAGGTTGAACTTCCTCAGTAATTTGTTCGAAAGGCTTTCCAATAATATGAGTGTAAGGAGAAGTTCTTTTTGGAGTTAGAACAAGTTTAAGTCTACAACCAATATCTTCCAAAGAAATATGATAGTTAATTCCAGATGTCACTTTTTCTTCTTGATCTCCTGACACTCTGTACCATTCACAAGTTGTATACACCATATCAAATCCTTTTCCTTTTACATCCTTTACATGGATATTTCCTTCTTCAACAAGTTGCCCCATCAAACTAATAGATTCAATATAAGGTTTTGAAGGAATAACCAAAGGGCTCAAATCACTACCTGTCCAAAGTGTTTGTTGACCCAGGTTGTCAGTAGATCTGCAAAGATATCTGAATTTCTTATTAAACATGGTTTCGTCTACTACCAGCGCATTAGTGTCAATTGAAGAGTCCACACATTCACCTGAAGTTCCATCAATAATATGCCACTTGTGCTCTCTCAGAGATTCTTCTGTGATGGAGGAATATTGAGACTCTCCAAGGAGGGTGCACCCGTCACTTAATTCAGCTCCTTCTTCTCTTCCTTCGTATCTTATTTTTACATTTTCAATTTTTGGAACTGGAAGATCAACAAATGTGGAAGTGAACGCAACAACCTTTTCTCCTTTAGCCATATCATCTCTTACAGGAGTAATTTCAACCTTAAACATACAACCTATATCTTCTTTTTGGACAGTATATTTAGGCGTTTGCTCAGCTACCATTTGGTCAAAAGATATTTCTTCTACTGGTGGCAGAGAGCCTGAATTAATAATTTCAGTAGGAAGTTGACAACTTCTGTACCAATTAATGATAGTAAGCCCTTCTGTTCCTCCTTCATATTTGTAGTGAACCTTTAACAATGCCCCTATTGTTAGCACTCCTTCAATTGTTGGTTCTGAAATTCTAGGAATATCTGGTTCTATCTTTGGAGTTTTAACTTCAACTGATTCTCCCTTAATTCCATCACTTCTAACAGGAGTGCAGACTATTTTAATTTCCTTTCTGATATCACTCAAATTAATTTGATATTTCTTTCCGTTTGCATGTTCAATTTTTTCCTCACCATTTTCATCAACCCTGAAGAATTCGAATTCAGAATTTCCTTCAAATCCTCCATAATAAGTAGTATGAACTGTGATACTATCATTTTCAGCAAACTTTTCGCTTTCTACAGAAACATCAACAAAGGCAGGAGGAGCAGGAGCAACAACATTGGAGATAACTTCGACAGTATCACCAATTTTACCATCAGTATTTACAGGTGTGGCAACACATTTAAGTCTTTTACCAACCTGATCTTCTCCAGGAATAATATCTTTCGAGATTGCTCCGTTAAGCAACTTGAACACACCATCTTCCTCAACTAGCCATTGGAAAGTACATTCACCTTCAATGCCACCAGTAAACGAGTAAGAAACCGATGATGGTTGATCTTGTTCAAATTTTTCAGAAAGAACTATGTCAAAAATACTTGGCTTCTTGGATTCTACTTGGGAGGAAACTTTGGAAATGGAAATACCTTCCACACCATCATTTCTGACAGGTGTATAAGAAAGAACCAAATATTTTGAATAATCAGAGCAAGCAATCTTATAAGATTTACCTGTTCCAACAATTGGAGCATCTTCTATGTTCTCTGAAGGATCGATAACTAATCTCCATTCGAATCTTGATTCTCCCTCGATACCTCCCTTGAATGAGCTTGTGGCCTCTATTGTTTCTCCTTCCATCACTGTACCAATAATGTCAAGAGAAGAACAGTATGGCTTTCCAGCTAATACTTCTCCAGTAGTATCCTCAAAAGAAATGAGTTTGTTGGTGTGTTGCTTGAAAACAAGAGAAGCACCTAAAGTAGTTGAAATATCATCAAAGACAGCTATATAACAAGTACCAACAGCTCCATTATACCAAACAATTTCAATTTTGAAACTTGATCCCTCAGATGGTACTTGATTGACATCAGCAGATATTACCTCGGATCTTCCTGATTCGTTAGCAAAGTAAAATGAATGTGGGCCAACAGGAACTAGTAAGGTAAGTTTTTCTTCTGCAACCACATCAAAAGAAGCCAAATGCTCATTCTTCTCAAATACAATCTTTGACCACTTTCCTTCTGGAACATCAATTTCTAAAAATCCCATTCCTAATGCCTCAACTGAGTAATCTTGATTTGTATCTACCTTAAAAACAGGGAAGAATCTTACTTCTTCCTCTTCTACAGGATTTTGACAATCAAAACAATAGTTTAACAAATGGAATGGTGTTCCTTTTGAAATTTGCCTTTGAGCATCAAGAAGCCAATCTTTTGAAAAAGCTTTTAACTTTTCAAACTCTTCAAATTCTTCTTCATAAGGAATTAATAAACCTAGCAATACTGATTCTGAAATTGTTCCTCTATAATTTGCTGCATTTTCAAGAGTCTCATCGCTAAGCAGTTCTCTATTCAATGATCTCAATTTACTGAATAGAGCTATGGCTATCTCTTTGAACTTGTTAATTTCTACAATTGGGTTATCTGAGAGATCTAAAGAATCAAGCTCTTCGAATGATTTTACATTTTGAAAGTTCTTAATACGATTATTTGGAGCACTAAAAGCTCTTAATTTAGGAAGAGCAGGACCGTCCCATTCACTGATCGAGTTGTTTCCAAGAATTAAGGATTCCAATTCCTTGAGATTTGGCATGGACATGAGAGAAGTAATCTTATTATGTGTCAAAAATAAATGTTTAAGAACTGGCATATAAGACAAGAAGGATAAGTTCTCAATATTATTTGAACTCAAATCCAATACTCTCAACAATGGAAATTCAACTTGAATATTTAAAGTTTTTGGTAAATCTCCATTTCTGGCATACAAATATTCATATCCAAATAGTTCATTAAAATCAAAGGTTCCCAATTCTGTATTACTAATATTCAATTTCTAATTTGTTCAATCGTTAAAGCATCATAAAATTGTTTTCACTTACCTTTACAGTTTCCACTTTCTTTGGTTGAGAAGAAAGAGCCTTTTTCTTCATTGGAGATTCCGGCATCTTCTTAGATCCTATTAACGAAGAGAAGGTAAATAAACGTCTTGAGACTTGATGATAACAAACCTTGAGGTGCTATTGTTGGAGGCATTTTTTTATTTTAAAAATTGTATTTTGGTTTGGCGGGAGAAATACTGAAGTCATTTAAGATCTGTCTTAATTTGTCAACGAGAATCAAAAAGTACGAGATTGGTTGATAACAATGTTTAATTATTCTCAATAATATTACTTTATTGCTTTTGGTTTGTTTGTGGTGGGTGTGCCATCTGTTGTGTAGCTTGTTTTTGCTGTTCTGCTACCATCTTTACAAACTTTTCAAAGTAAAAAGTACTACCATTGTGAACCATAACTATGAAAATGTTAATATTTCAATAAAATCCAATAAAACATACCAATATAAATAGCAACAAGACAGAATGCATGGAAATAAATATATCTAAACATGAAAATTACAGGTAAAACAGTTAAACTATGATAGAATAATTGGAATGCCATAAAAGCAAATAATCTGGTGGTTGCTGAGAATTTTTGTCCAAGCTCTATTCAAACATGTTTGTGAAATATCCTTAGAAAATACTTACTGTAAGACTTTGATTTTTTATCCATTTCTGTAATCCATCTGAAACTTGTAATGACATGAGATCTTTCCTTCAAGATATTTCTATCAATATGTTCAGTTTTGATAAAATATGAAATTTGCCAGAATAAGAAGAAGAGAAGATGAGGAACTATTACTTCAAACCATGTAACTTCACAATTTTCTCTAATACAGACAGAATATTCAGGGAATTGTTCAGGATACCATCTAATTGCAAATGAAATAAGTGGAGGGAATGTATGAATAAATGCAGAAGTTAACTTATCAAAATCATGGAAAACAAGTGAATTTCTCCTATTTAAAATTACAATTAACAATCATCTCTTTAAACTTACCAAAAAACAATTGCCAATAAGATAGGTCCACAATTATTAGCAAATGTTAAAACAAACAAATGAGGACTAGTTGGGAAGAAGAATAAGAAGAACATTAATGCCAAATTTCCCATATAACAGAAATCAATCATAAAATACTTTTGAAATTCAATGATATCGTTCGGAATTGAATTACGTAATACTTACGTGAGCATGTTGAGAGTGGAAATCAATGAAACGATAAATCATCAAAGGAATCATCCACAAAATGTACCAAATAGGTAAATATTTTGGAGAATGTCCAAAAAGATAGGTTGTACTAACAAGAAGAAGAACACCAACAGTGAATGCAACTATAGAATTTTGGAAATTACAATCTCGGAATGTTGTACTTACTCTTGTCACTAAATGAAACTGAAAAATTAGGAAGATTTTTCAAGCTAATATGTGATCAATTATTATTTAATTATTACTAATAAACATACATTTTATATCTCTTTCTCAAGCTTGATGAAACATTTACAAGTGTTGATGAAGGTTTTGGAGTTGCTTGTTGTGGTCCTTGTTTAGGAGATGATGAAGTTGTTGTTGTTGTGTTATTATTATTTGTTGTTGTTGTTGTTGTTGGAGTTATTGTTGCTGTTGTTACAGGATCTTGTTCTTGCTTCTTTTCTTGTTTACTTTCCTTCTTCTTTTTAGTTTGTTGTTGTGACATTTTTTGAGGAGCAACTCCGTAGCAGAAATAAGGAAAGCAAGTGAAATGGATAAAATAGTTGTTGTTTTTATTGATATTCTTAAAAGAAGAATGTGGCTTGATTCAGCTCTTGGATGGATCTTAAAATATTATCAGAGTTAGTACCAATTTGACGAGCTAAATCTCTTTGTAAAATTGTGTTAATGTTTGCATAATTCCAAATCAGTTGACCATCAATGATATTCTTCTTATAATTGTATTCAGTACGTTCGAGTGGCTTGTATAATCTGAAAGATTTTGGATGTAACCCTGCTGCTTGTTCCAATTGTGTGTACATCTTTAACTGTAAGGCAAATAATCTTCTGTGAGTTACTTCGTTAATTGGAGCAACATAACCAATAGCACCATCTACGCTTCCAAATAATATAAATTGGTGATTAGGATTAGTTTTTGTGATATCCTTTTTACCTGATTGTTTTGGTTTTTCATTTACATTACCCAATCTAATGGTGTTATCGTCAGGTAATTCTCTTACTTTCATTCTTATAAGGCTGTTAATAAGGGTACCAATGTGGAAATCACAAACTGGGACCAAATTTCTACCATCGTTACTTTCTTGATGCTGAGGCAGATAGGAGAAGATTTGAAGATTCTTACTAGTGTCAATAACTGCCAATCCAAGTAAATCATTATTCACAAGGAATTCTGAAGAGACAACTTGAAGTGGTCTGTTATCTTTGGCAAGAAGAATTAATCTGTGACCCTTTTCCTTCCAACGTAAAAAGCTTACGCTCTTATAGATATCACCAAACATGATAAAGTTTCTAACAGTATTTAAACTTGCAGTATAAAATTGAGTGTCATAGAAAGATGTAATATGCATTCTCTTTTCTTCCCAATCAAAGTAGTACGTATAAATACGATTACCAACACTACAAATAATATATCTGTCAACTTGTTCAAGAGTTGTAATTGGTCCTTTAACAGATGTTGAAGAAATTAAATTCAACTTATACTCATTTTCTCTTCCAAGAATTGGATCCAAATCAAATAATAAAAGTCTTCCTCTACATAATTCTCTTTCACTTTGTACATAGGCTGTTCCTACAGCAACTACAGAAACCAAGTCTTGCTTTCTGCTGTTCAATGGCTCTTCAAATGATATATCAGTATCGTCATTATATTCTTCCTTAGACAAATAAACTACCTTTGCTGCCACAGCAGACTCATGAAGATCAAATTCAAACTTGTCCATTTCTTGCCAATTGTGTCCTGAAAATAATTTTACAGTGTGCTTTTGTTCGGCTGGAGGAGGGCATTTACCCTCAGGGAAAGGAATACTATCAGGTAAAATGGCCTTTACAGGAACAGATGTGAAAGCTAAACAAGTATTAGTATCTTGATGGAATGTAATAACGTTAGGAGTACTCTTGAGCAAAATCTTTCTTTGTGGCCAGTAGGCGTTAAATTTAACATTAGCATTCAAACTTGAAATGTGTAACTTTGATTGTTTCTTATTATCTTGTTCTTTGTCTGTTAAATAAATAAAACCATGAGGACAGTTTTCGTGGTGATATGGTGTGAAGGTAGTAACAGGATCTCTACTTTGTGTTGGATGTACTCTGAGGTTAGAGTGTTCTGTAAATAACCAAAAAGGTTTTTCACCAGTTTTGAATAAACCTCCATAACCTCCAATGTTTTTGAATGGAATAAGTTGGGATCTTCCTAGATCTGATTTTGGAAATAAATATTTAGATTTAAGATTGAGGGTAAATGTTTGACTCTTCTTGTCAATTTCAGATATTGGTAATAAATCGTCGTGTTGGAATTTAGAGAATCTTAGTCTTGTTAATCTGTTATCTTTGGATTTTGTTGTTCTATCTAAAAATGATCTATAGATATGTACAGTATTATCGCTCAATACAGAAACAAGATATGGCATCTCGCTATCTGAGCCAATTCCTCTTAAAGCCATTTCTGTAACATATGGATACTTGACTTCAGATTGTGTAGTATTACTTGATTGTCCTTCATCAAACAGAGTTGTGTGGAATTGATAAAATTGAGAGAATGAGAATACACATGTCATATCTGGAACAGATAAAATCTCGAAAGCACCATCAGTCCAATATACACAACATAAATATTTGCCTTCTTTTTCATTGATTCCAAAAAATTCAAACTCTGGATTGGTCTTGTACAGACATACTGCTGTTATCTTTCCATGATTAGATTCAATATCAAGTTGTTTGCTTGTCACTCTTCCGTTATCATGGGTGAGTAAAACTAAACTTCCATCATAAAAATGAAGTAGGACATAAGGATCTAATATTATGGAAGATCTTATTTCCTTCTTGGAATGGTGAACTTGCTTTGGTTCAGATCCAATAAGCATTACGCTTTTACGAGTTACTTGCACTATAGATTCTCTTATTTTACCAATATTCAAAGTTGTTTCATTTGTAACAAACATTGATTTTGACGTTACTTCAGCAAGGGTTGCCTTGGATTCAAATACTTTAGTCTTATCTTCTAAACTTAAAATTAAATACAAATCATGTTCAGTTTTTTGGGAAATAGTCCAAACTTGCTTGACTAAAAATGGTAGAGTAGCTTCTGATTGAATATCAGGTTGTAGACTTCTATTCAAAACGGTCAAACAACCATGTCTACCAATACCAGAACAAGCAATAGCAGAAAGTTGATTATCGTTTGTTTTAGACTTGAATCCTGACATATCAAAAGAAGAAGTAACAGCTGCTGTCAAGTGTGATATTGGACCAATATTTGTAAAAACATGTTTGATTTTGAGTTCTACCTTTGTTGTTTCTTTCTTAGAGACCTTGGAAAAGGATTCTATTACTGTTGGTTCTTCATCCTTTTCTAAAGCAGCAAAAAAGTCATCATCATCAGCTAACTTTCTCTTCTTTTTCTCTGGTTCAAAGTTTTCTCCAGCAGCAAAAACGGATGACATTTCTTCATCAGTATCCAAACTACTAGTTTCCACCTCTACTTTTTCTTGATATTCATAAAGAACTGAATCACCAATCTTGGATCCAAGGAAAATAAGATTTCCTTTCAAAGTACACATGCAAGAGGCTGGTGTTGTGTTGGATGTCTTCTTGATGTTGATATTATTAATTCTACTTCCTCCAGACTCTAAATACATTGTATAAAGCTCACCATCCTTCAAAGAAACTAAAAGTTTATCCCTTGCTATGAAAGTGTATGCAACTGTATCAAAGAAGAGTGCAGGCCCATCAAAAGTATTAAAGTTAATTGATAAATTAGGATTCGAAACAGCAAAATCGTTGAAGGATAATCCATAAGTTGCACATTGATTAATATGAATGATAGAATTCATTCCAATAACCAATGCTCCACCAGCAACATCCTCTTGTAATGGAATCAATTTGTTACAGTCATGTGGTAATGATCCAACACTCCAAATCTTAGGATAATACTTTCTAAATAAATCGAATGATACAGCTGTCACAGTTGATGTATTACTCTTAGCTGCAAGTCTACCACTCCAAGTTTGTTCATTCTCGTGCAAGAATAAAATTGTTGGTTCATTGTATCCATTCAAAAAGCAATAGTCTTTCACATTTTTAATTCCTAGATCGTTTAAATCGATAATTACTTGTCTTTGCACTTCTGGTTGATGATGTTTTTTTTGATCTCCAACATTTTCATTTGCTTCCTCTTGATCCCCAGAAAGAGCAAATAAAAAGTTATCCTCAGTTGAAAGTGATACATCCTCTCCAGATTGTCTGAATGGTAAAATTACTAATTTAGAGTCGCAAATAATTACTGTAGCAAATCTATTTTGTGGATCCAAAATAATTGGTTGATTGTGAAAGAATCTAGCTTTACCTTCTCTCAAAAAGTCATCTTCGAGATAATGCAAAGATAAAGTTTTAAGATCACTCCTCTTCTCATCAAACTCCACAACAGATACTTTTGCTTCATCTTCAAAGTTAATTAAAAGCATTTCCTTTTTCATACCCTGAAGACAAACAGCAATTATAGAATCAATTACTCCAAATAATTCAAAAACTTTTACAAGAACAATATTGGATGTATTCGGTTTGATTAAATAAACCTCCATAATGTTGTTTTTAACAATGATCAGATTTTCATCATTAGCTGATGTAAATCGTGCCTTCAAACAGAATGACACAGCTGTTGGAGGATGAAGCTGTTTGTAGCACGCGAACATTGTATTGGAAATTTTTTTAATTTATTTTTATTAAAATTTATTTGTTGTGATGAAGTTTTTCTGTGTTGAAAGGCTTGCATTGATTGTTTTCTTCTTGAAATAAATTTAGAAAACAACACATTCAACTATTTACATAGCAATAACAGAGTTTAATTTAAAGTTCGGAATAGAACTTGTAGAGCAATTCTCTAACTTGGAAATAGGTTGGACTCAGAGAACCAAAAACTTGAATTTCTCCAGACTTTTTATCCTTTTGCAACATGACTTCATCATTGCAAACAAGAACACCTCCTTGTTGGAACTCAGCTGACAAGCCACTTTCTTTCAATAATTTGAAGAATTGATTCAACTTTAAATCACCAATGAGCATTGTTGGATGGCCCTTTGGTTTTGGATTTGGGTGAATGCAAGGAATATCGCTGCCTTCTTCAACTCTATAGATACCTTCAATATAAGCCATATCATAATTAGTACCACTCTTAATATAATGAATTTGACTTAATAAATCTTGTTTCAGCTTGACTTTAAACATGTTGGTATCCATTGTCATGTCCATAACTTCTAGATCCATTGGAGTTTTGATTTGTTCTGAAATTTTCTTAGTTTCACAATAATCTGAAAGCTCAATAATTGATTCTTGAGATCCGTGAATTAAAATTAGTTTTCTAGGGTTAATCTTTTGTAAAATATTCTTGATGTCTACAGGAGAGGATCTTCCTTCAAAATCTAAATAAGCTAATTTACAAAGAATTCTTACACTGACATTTTCAGATTCAATCTTAGATGGAGGTTCATAATAATCTTCTTCTTCATGAATAGTATTGTCAGCCATTATTTGTTCACTTTGATCTGCTTGAAGCAATCTAAGTTTGAAATCTTCAGGGTCAACTGACTCACCATACTCATCTTTAGAAATACCTCTTTCAATACATGGAAACATCAAATATTGTGAATGATAACGCATATTCTCAGGTAGGTAAAGTCTGGCATGAGTTTGAGAATCATCATCAGCACCTCCTGTTAATTCTTCTCTGAATTGTTTCGATTTCTTCAAGTCCAAATCTTCATCGTCTTCATCTCTAACGTGAATAACTCTCTTATTTCTTTCTTCTTCTTCTCTTCTTTTCTTTTCAGCTTCTTGTTTCAATTGTTGTTCTTTTTCATATTTTTCCAATTCTTCTCCTTTGAGAGCAACTCTACGATACAATGTTAAACTCATATTTTCGTCTAATCTTTCTGATTTTTTAGCTCTTAACTTGTTAATCAATTTTCTTGATAAAGAGTTAGGAGCAGACCTCTCAATAAACATAACCAAATTTCTTTGATCCTCACACCACTTTACAAATAGTTCTCTAGCATATCCGTAATCTAAAGTATTTGAAGAAGCCAAAACAACCATAGGTGTATGTTTTCCAGTAGTAGCTGTTTCTTCATCTTCGTCATTCATTTGATTTTCCATCATCATTCTCATTTGTTCTTTCTTTTGTAACTTGTCCATTAATTCTTCAACATTGTGACAAACACTAAAATATTGGAATTTAAATGGATTTTCACGTTTTTCATCGAATCCCTTCATAATTTTATCACTCATCCATTCCAGTTGATGGGATGCAAATTCTATAGTTCTGTAAGCAACATTTGTCAATAAAATCAATTCAAAATTAGCCATTTGGGGATCTCTTTTCCATCTTTCTTCCAAAAGTAACATTAATTCGAAAACTCTACCAGCTGTCTCAATTGGTACAAGAACGTTTCCTCCACCGGTTAAGGTATCTGTTATTGATTTCATAATCTTGATTGCTGGTGCCTTATCTACCCCTCCAAGATCTGAGCTTGGAATAGGTTTCACATTGTATGCATCTGTGATTAAAAGAGCTGGTTTACCACCAAGTTCTCCTAATACAGACCCATTCAAATGTCTTTCTGTTTTGATGTTAAAATCTATGGCATATACAATTTCATCTGTCTCCTTTGTTAATTTCCAAATAGTACCACCTAGTGTGTGACCGGCTAAGAATGGACAAATGACTAGTTTCTCACCTTCCATTTCTGCAACAGATCCTGATGATCCAACAACACCACCTTCACCTTCTTCTCCATTCTCATCGGTTTCTTCAATTTGTGTTATTATTGTTGTTTGTTGTGACAATGGATATCTTTGACTATATTTTAATTGATGAATAGAATCAAAACAAAGATCTACATCATCCAAGTCAAATGTTTCAAAATCTTGATGTTGTCTTATATTTTGGTAAGCATCATAAAGATGCATTTGGCCCATTTTAACAATAGGTAATGTTGCAAATATTTTAGCCTTCTTCTTATTTTCCAAAATACCACATTTACCAACAAGATATGGTAAAGCACCACAGTGGTAAATATCACTTTGGGAAATTAAAATAGCATCAATTTTATCCCGATAATTGTTGATAATTTCTTGAATATGTGAATCCTTTGTATTAAAATTTTCATCCCATCCACAATCCAACAAAATATAATAATCATCAACAATTAATATCGAACAAACAGGTCCTTCATTTTGTGATCCAACAAGAGGAACAAATTGAATCGAACTGCTCATTTTTTTTAAATTTGTATTTTAATATTTTATTAATCATGGAAATCAGAGCACTTTAAAACAATTTCAAGGAGGAACCTGTTGTCTACAGTTCTGTCTTGTTTCTTCTAGAGCAACAACAAGATAAAACCAGACTTCCTAACCCCATCTTCAAAAAACAAATTAATTTTTAATTTTTAATATTTTTAAAAAATGTCCAGAGACAGGTATGCTGATCAAGATGATGACTATGAACAATCATCGGGTGGCAAAAACGACAAGATACAAAGTGCTGAAGCAAGAATCGAACTTAATAAGTATGACACAGAAGCTTGGACCGTAAGTAACAACAATCTAAAACAAATTTTCTAACATGTCATCATTAGATTTTGTTGTCAGAAGTACAAGAAATGAGCATCATCCAAGCAAGACCATACTATGAACGATTTTTTGAAATATATCCAGTAGCTGTAAGTAATGATATTAGTGATTAATATTAACCTTCCATCAGGCAAGATATTGGAAAATATATGCTGAACATGAATTAAAAGCAAAGAACCATACTCTAGCTGAGGAAATATTTAAAAAGGCATTGGATGCTTGCCCTAACTTTGAATTGTGGAGATTTTATTTGGATTATATTAGGGAACATAAAAGAAATGATGTGGATACAATTCGTAAAGCCTTCGATATTTGCAAAGAAAAGGTTGGGCTTGATATTTCAAGCTCAACTCTATGGATTGACAACATTAAATTCATAAAAGATCTTAAAGCAACTGATCAAAATGATATTCAAAACCAAATCAATCTTTTGAGAAGTCTCTATCAAGAAGCTATTCAAATTCCTATGCATGATATCGAAAAGATTTGGAAAGATTATGAAATTTTTGAAAATGAAGTCAACCCAACCAATGGGAAATCAACTCTTCAAGAATTTGCTCCAAAGTTCAAATTGGCTCTCAATAAGTATAAGGAAAAGAAAAATATCAGAGAAAATATGGGTGGAGTAGGAGGTTTATTATTAAATATGTTGGCGACACCACCAACAAACTCTGAGAAGGAAAGATCACAAAAACAAATCTGGAAGGATTTAATAGAACTTGAAAAGAGAAATTCACAAAGACTAACAGCTGATGAACTCAAAAGAAGAGTTCTTTTTGTTTATAGTCAATGCTTCCTCTGTTTTAGACATCATCCTGATATTTGGTATGATGCTGCTAATTATTTGATTTCTATTCAGTGTCACGATGAAGCAACAATAGTTTTTCAACGTGGATGTAACGCATTATTACCTGTTCCAAAATCATTGGATGCCAATCAATCACAAGAGGGAAGTATTTTACTCCATCTTGCATTTTCAGAATATTTGGAATCAAGAAAGCTCTTTGACGAAGCAGCTAAAGTTTTCAAAACTCTTATCACATCAAAACATGACCCTCTAGTTTTTATTCAATATATCAGATTTATGAGACGTACCAAAGGAACAGAAGGAGCTAGAGAAGCATTTATTGAAGTTAAAAAATCTCCAAAATGTACATACCATGTGTGGGTTGCATCAGCTCTTCTTGAATATACTACTAACAATCAACCAGAGACTGCAAGAAAATTTTTCAAACTAGGTCAGAATCAACCATTCGGAAAAGAACCAGGTTTTATTCTTGAATACTTAAAATTCCTAGACCATCTAAATGATAAGAATAACTCTAGAGTTCTTTTTGAAACAATTCTTAATGAATTACCAAAAGAACAATCCTCTGAAATATGGAATAGATTTTTACAATTTGAATACTCAATAGGCGATTTGAATTCGATAGAAAAGGTTGAACAAAGAAAACTTGCAGCCTTTTCAGAGAATGCTGAAAATAATACACCTTCTAATAGTGGTTTCGAAAATACAGTCAACGCTACCAACAGCCTTATAAATCTCATCAATAGAAGCAAGTTTTTAGATTTATGGCCTTGTACACCTAGTGAAATGGAGTTACTCAATTTGAAAGCACAAGAAAGCGAGAAAGTGCCAACAGAAGACGATATCCATATCAAATATTCTAAATCATTTTATCGTGTTGATTACACAAAGCAAATCATGTTTACAAACACTAGACAACAAAATCAAGGCTCAGTAGATAAACTCAATAGTAATCGTACAGCACCTCCAACAGTTTCTCTCCCTCCAGAATTCAACAAATTTAGACAATACCTTAACCAAAAGAGACTTTTCCTTCCGGATTTTAAGCAAATGTGTGAATTCAAAGTTATTCCAAACCATGTCTCACAATCTAATTCATCCCTTCCCCTAGTAACAGTACATGATGAGCAAGTAATTCCTCATACAGTACTTCAGATTTTAAGGAGAATGCCTCAACAACATTTTGCTGTTATTCCTCCAGATTATGTTATTAATGCATTGATGACAACTCCACTTCCACCCCCACCTGAATCAGATCTTAAAAGAGGTAGAAATGAATATGAAAATGTTGATTATGACCAAGAGTATGATGATGAAGGTCCAGCAGATAGAGCCTATGATGATATTTACACAAAGAGAAGAAAGCAAAGGAAATAAATTCTTCTTTTTAATTAAGAATCTTTATATGAAGCACCTGATTTGAACAAACGACCCCGTAACAGCTTCAAACGTAATCTTCCATTTCCAATTCGATCACTTCCTCAACACCTTGCTCGCATTTCAATAAGGAAGCCAAAGATAGAAACACTTCATTGGGCCGACCAGAGAAATCTTTTACCAACAATCCACCCCACAGAATAAAAAAATGAAGAACACACAACTGATATTTGGTCTCTCTGCACTCCTATGTTTTATTCTCCTCAATCAATTGTTTGTTTTCATTAAGGCTGATGTGTATATGCACAATCCTAGAGGCTCAAATGATAGGTAGGTAACATTGTTGTGAAAACAATGTTTTATTAAAATCTTAATAATAATAGAAATTGCGAGTTCCATGCTAACAGAAATAATGCAAATAGATTGTTCGACAGTCAAAATAATGCTGCAGGTGGTGTAAGTATTGAAAATTGGAAGATAACCATAGATTTATGGATTTTATTGTTGTTGGACTATATTGTTGTAATTTTAAAACAAACAGTATGCTTGCCCAAGAATGATCGGAGGTCCAGAAGTAGTTACACCAAGAATGTAAGTTTTTATTATTGTTGAATTGTAAATATTAACTTTATTAAGGTACTATTATGTAGGAAGTGAATTACCTATTGAATGGACCTCACAACACTCATGTGGTTTCAGAAATACTTATTGTAACGTTGTTATTCAATACATGTGTAATGATACAGCTCCAAATCTCAGAGATGGTACTCCTGAGAATGAAAAGGATGCTGCCACTGACACTATTTCAGAAGCCACCAATAACAATCCAAGATATGGATTGCACGAACCAATGGAATATTACATGAAATGTAGAACAAGAAGAAGAAACTCTGGTCTCTATATTGCTGATCAAAGACAAGAAAATTGGGGAAGACTTTTGGAAAATAGCCCTGCTGTAGAAACAAGACAAAATCCAAACGGAAATAGACACGGTTGGGAATGTCCTGAAGAAAGAGATTATTATCCTTATTGGCATCCAACTCCTTGGAAAGATATTGCCATCTTTACTTTCAATACATCCATGTGTCAATGGTATCAAGAAAATTCTGAAAATGTTCGTGGAAGAGGAGAATGCTTACAAGAAAGTGGAGCACCATCTCCTTTCAATAATGAAAAGAGTTGCATTTCTGGAGGTCATAATTGGCATGTGAGACCAGCTCATGGTGTTGATCCACCAGAATGTATAAGTGCTGATATTATCAATGTTAGAGATAACCATTTGGGTAATACTTACAATGGTCAATTGGTAAATTACAAGTGGTATATTCCAAATGATGTTCATGAAAATTGTGTTGTGAGAATTAGATATAATATTACAACTGGTGATTATCATCCATTCGAAACTGATTCCACTTTCAATTATCCAAAGTCACCTCTTAAACAAGATCCATTTGAAAACTTTGAATATCCTTCATGGTTATCATTGGCTGTTAACACAAATCAATATGGTAGAACATTCCAAGATAGAAGTTATGTTTTCTCAATTAAGGAAAGACCATCAACTATTCCTGCTTGGGCAAAGATTTACAATTTGAATGTGAGAGGAAAGAGAGGTAACATTGTTCAAACATTCCCTTCCACTGAATATGACTTTGTTCCAAATTTCTTGGAAGCCAGAGGAGGTGATTTTATTCATATTCAATGGACTGGTTCTGATTACAATCCACAAAGAAATCCAAATGATGCTGAAGGTGCTCCAAATACTGGTGACAGAAGCAATTTGGTACAATCAGATAATTCTGGTTTCAATTATCCAAGAAATTATACCAGAGTTACAATGTTCTTAAAAGATGATGGTACTCCAGATCTTGATTTTATCACTAGATTGGCTTTCATTGATCAACCAATTCAAAACACTTCTGAATGTATGGATTGGAAGTCATTGTTGGAAAAGAATGGTGGTAATAAGAATAAGGCTGAACAAGATTGCAACAATTGTGCCAAGCTCAACAATGCTCCAAATGGTCCATATTTTGATGGTGGACTTCATGAATTGAAGGCAAACGGTATGTTTGCTTACATGTCAACCAGAAACAACAATTTCTCAAACAGAAGTCACAAGGGTTATTTGATTGTTACAGGTGCCAGATTTAATAATTCTGACAAGTTAAAGATGTCCATGACTTTCATTGGTTTGATTTTCATGATTATCTTGATGCTTTAAATATTTAACATTAATAAATTAAATATACAAATTTTAAAAGTTTAATTTAAACAAGTCTGGAATCAATATCACCATAGAGCATCTTACGAAGTTCTGGCAGCTTTTGTTCTTGACACAAATAAACACGCTTTTCTAAAGTGTTATCAATCTTAATCAAGTCATTCTTTGAGTGAACAAGAACACCACCAGCAGCGTTGGCAGCCAAGTAGTTCTTCTTTTGGACAGTGATTTTAACATCCATGTTAGTCTTATTCTTATAAGCAGTTTGAACACTAGCCATTTGAGAGGCAACCAATTCGTAATCTTGTTCTCTGCAGTATACGTTAAGTTCGGAATCAAGGAAACGGAGAGCAGCTTGCAAGACCAAATCGTGCAAAAGCTTCTTGTACACATCCTTGTTGAGAATAGCCTTCTTAATTTGTTCCAAAGCTTCAGCAACCATATCCTTCAAAATTTCTTCCTTCAATTTCAAAATTTCCAAACGAGCAGATTTAATTTCGTTTGAGTGATCGATTTTCTTTTTTATAATAACTTGTTGTTCCTTCTTGTTATAATCTTCTCTGATTTTCTTTTTACCATCTTCAACGAGGTTTTGTTTTTCAATGGCAAAGTCTTCTCTGGTTTGGAGTTCAATTTCATCGGCCTTTTCCTTGGCTTCACTCTTGATGAAATTAATCATTTGAGCGATTTTGGTGTCATTGCCTGTTGTTAAATATTGTTGTTAGTGGTGAAAAAGAGGATTAGAAGAATGTAACGAAGAGAGTAATGTTATTGTTATTTCATGAATAGTTGTGTAATAACAAGTTTAAAATAATACTAGTATTGGCATCATGGATGTTGAAAAACTATTCTAACATACCTTGGGTTGGTAAAGCTCTGCTCATTTTTATGTGGATATTTTTTTTGTGAGTGTTTTAAAAATTATTTTAATTTTAAAAAATATCGAAATTTTCCTCCGTCCAAAACAATTCAACATGACAAACGGAGGCAGCAAGGCCGGAGTACAAAGATTCCGTAAGATTTAAAAAATTTAATATTATTATTTTATTTAATAATTGACAGCATTCTTGATCATTTCGAAACATTTGATAACACCTGGAACGTAGTACTTTTCGTGAACAAGTGGGAATGGAGTATCCAAACCACAGACACGAATAACAGGTGATTCCAAATGTAAGAAACATTTTTCTTGAACAGTGGCAGCAACTTCAGCACCAAAACCACCAGTAATTGGAGCTTCGTGACTGACAACACATCTACCAGTCTTTTGAACTGATTTGACAACTGTTTCAACATCCCATGGAACAATAGTTCTCAAATCTATTAATTCACAATCAATACCAATTTCCTTAGCCATAGCAACAGCCTTTTCAAGGACATATAATTGACTTCCCCAACCTATAACTGTGACATCTTTACCTTCCTTTAAAACTTCAGCCTTTCCGAGTGGAATCTTATATGCTTCATTTGGAACAAGACTAACACTTGAACGATATAAAATCTTTGGTTCAAAGAAAATCACTGGATTTCTATCTTCAATACTTGATAATAATAAACCCTTAGCTTGGACTGGATTTCTTGGAATAACAACCTTAAGACCTGGTGTATGAGCAAAATAGGCTTCTGGTGATTGAGAGTGGTAATGTCCACCATGTCCAACAGCACTACTTGGTGTACGAATTGTTAAACCTCCAACATCAAACAAATTTCCACTTCTGAAACGGTATTTAGCAGCTTCATTGACAATTTGGTCAAATGCAGGGAAAATGTAATCAGCAAATTGAATTTCAGCAATTGCAGTATGTCCCATAGCAGCAACACCAACACCAAATCCGATAACACCTTGTTCACACAATGGTGTGTTGAAAACACGATCCTTGCCGAATTGATCACGTAAATCGACTGTACATCTAAAAACTCCTCCAAAAGCAACATCTTCACCAAAAACCAATGCAGTAGAATCCTTTTCCATAGCTTGCTTCATAGCAATATTAATACTATTGCACAAGTTCAATTCAGTAGAATTACTTTCGGTAATGTTGACTTCTTCTGGATTATGGTGATAGACAAGTTCGTGTTTATAATTCTTGTATTTGTTGACATCAATTTTATGATCATCTAATTTGTAAACATCTTCCTCCAATGCTGGTTTACTTTTTTGAACAAGTGATGATGAGAAGAATTTTTGTTGAGAGGAGAAGATTTTTGGTTTTAAAACACTATTAACAGTGCGGGAAAGAGAGGAGCGTGAAAGTTTCATTTTTTTTTAATTTTCATTTAAATTTTCAAAAAGGCTTTGTTTTGTTGGCTCATCATGGTGTTGATAATTTTTGTAAAACAAAGCTCAGCATTTATCTAGTAACACAAGAAGGTAATGACTTTAAAATTCTATATTTTTCAAGGTTGAAGATATTAACAAGTTGTTAGACTGAATGAAAATGATGCTTCTAACATGGAACCCTATTAATAACACAAAACATCAAAAAATTAAATACAAAAAAAATGATTTATCTCCTGGAGCAAATTTCGTACTTTCCCCTCTCATTTACGATCGTTTTGATTAATACAATTGTTTTCTTCATATTAAGTTTTGGAAGAATACCTTCGGAATTTGTCAGTTATAATTATGATAAAATTATTGGCGAAAAACAAGTATGGAGAATTGTTACATCAACATTCTCTCATTTTAGTATAATTCATATTTTGTTTAATTTGGGATCTTTGTGGGGAATGAGACAGGTTGAATTAATTGGACAAGAGACATTGGGTTCTCATTCATTCCATTCAGTAATGGAATATTTCAAAATTACATTCTTACTCTTAGTTTTTTCAACTCTTTTTATTACAGTAACTTACTTCTGTTTGGTTAAATTTATGAAATGGGAAAATTATAGACAGGTAAATATTGTAGGATACAGTGGAGGTATGTCAATTGGAGTTTTTAAACAAATTTTTAAATGATTTTTAGTATTATTTGGAATGATGACAATGTCAATTCTTCAAAATGGAATTTCATCTAAGGGGTCTTCAATGTTTGGATTAAATTTACCAAATATTTTAATGCCTTTCATGTCATTGATTTTAACTCAAATGTTGATTCCACAAGCAAGTTTTGTAGGGCATTTAGGAGGAATTGTTGGTGCTTTCATAACATATTATGGTATTTTAATTTGGATGCTTGATGTAGTTTTTATTGTAATCTTTTCCTTGACTGCTTTGGTGTTGTTGGCGAGTGCAGGTTGGACAATATTTAAAAATCGTAATTCGATAACTGTTCCTTCATTTATTAAGAGAGCTTGGCAAAAGATTTCTTCAGTATTTAGAAGAGGATCTAATACAATTAGAAATGGGTAAGTTTATTGATATATGAATTATAGCATTTATCAAATATATTGAACTAGTGTCATTAATCAACATCCACAAGAGCAAGAACAAGTTTTCAGTGATGAAGATGAAGAAGAGCTACCAGACAGAAGAAATAATGTATAGATATCATGTCTGATTAATCTAAATCAGTTGTAAATATATTCACATTAAACGATCTTTCAATATTTTATTCCTCAATCTTTCAATCTTGCTTGTTTGCCTTAGTCCCCATCAAAATAATAATGGATTACACAACCCCATATACCCTCACATTCATTCATAAACAAACAGCAGAGCAACATGCAAACTAAATTTGATCAACACTGTACGTGACCTTTTTCAAAACAAAAAAAACAAGTCCGCAACCTATAAGAGTCTATCTCCTGTGACCTGATTGTCACCAAATAATAATCATCAAATTGGTAGATGAAGTACTGCAAGTAGTACCACTTTCGAAAATTGTATCACCACAAATTCTTGTTCTTCAGTACAGATGCAACAACAATTTATTGTACCTTCGGATAATGAAATTTTAGAAGCGATTGGTAGGTTATTGTGTGTTGGTTGTTGATTAATATAATTACCAATAATCGAATTGTGTGTTGGTTGTTGATTAATATAATTACCAATAATCGAATAGGTAAACCTGTCCCTGCCATGTTTATTCCAGGTGATTGCTTTCAAAATTTGAAATTACCAGGACCAAATGATTGGCTCAACCGATACAAGGAAGAAGGTCAAACATTTTACAACTTTATTTCTTCACAGGAAGAAAATCCGTAAGTATTCTCATGTCACAAATTTAATCGAGCAAAATGTTGATCTATAGTGAAGAAGAAACAGAAAAGAGAATTTATCTTGTTCCTGTTGGATCATTTGAGAAAGAAAATGCTCCTGATTTGAATGTTTTATTGGAATATATTTCTGTGTTTTTTAATTGTGGAAATGTTCAATTACTTCCACGTATTGAATTGATTGGAGAAGATCAAGTTAAAATGGAGGAAAAACAGGTTGTTACAAATAGTAATTTACATTCTAATCACTTGTTGAGTGCAAAAACAAAAAACTCAGTTTCAGATAAAATTGCCAAACAGAGGAAACAACAGAATTCATCAAAATATATAAATGAACATAATCATTGGAATTTTACTCATGATAATGCACTTACAATACAAACTCAAGATAAATCTTTGAATGAATCAGTTTCACCTAAACAGAGAAAGAAAAAGAAACGAAAAAAGGAAAAAGTTGAAAAAAAGAAAATGTATTTAAAAATTGGAGATTCATATGAGGCAGTAACATGTAGGAAAGCATTAGACCATGATCAGATACAGTTATCAATTTCTGACGTATTGGATGTGTTAGAAATGCAAGTTTTACCTGATGATGCATTTTGCATGATTGCCTTGACACTAACTGATTTGTATATGGACGAGGATGATTTATTTGTTGTGGGATGGGCTGGGAACTTTTCTGCTCTCTTTTCATTTGCTAGATATGATCCAAATTTTACTCATACTTTGAATGGAGGTAGAACTTCAGCTTCTTCTCATCAACAAACTGAGGAAAACAATAATTTGGGAGTTAATCAAAGAATTGATCTTATTCTGAAGAGATGTTTAAAAACTGTTGTACATGAAACGTAAGTAATTTTGAAGATATGTCAAATATATAATTTGTTTATTCAGGTTGCATATTTTTGGACTAAGACACTGTATATTTTATTCATGCTTAATGAATGGAACTGCTTCACTGCATGAAGATGATGAGACACCAATGTTTATGTGCCCTATTTGTGAAAGGAAACTTCAATACGTTTTAAAGTTTGATGTGATAAATAGGTATAGGAAAATGTTGGACTTTTTCGAGAATTATTTATCAACTCACAATTTTGGAGAAGAGGTTCAGTGGATTAAGAAGAGAATTTCATTTCTCGAATCTATTCAACACGATAATTCAAATGAATCAAAGTATGGAGACATTCTACTGCCAATGAGACCAGCAACGAGTGAACGAGATGTCTTTATGAGTCCAATGCACCCACCTCTCAACTCAATGAGTGAGCTCTTACTATCTCATCAACAAAATTCAAACAGAAATCGATGTCGATGTAATAATTATCTTTGTAAATATACTTCCTCAACTGGAGAAGATTCAAGTGAAACCGATACAGATGATTCTAATGAGTAAAAACAACTTTCAATCAGAAGGGTCCTTATAATCACGGTAAATCATGCTATTAGAGCAATGTATTATTTTTTGGATTTTGTCTCATCATTAAGGTCACAAAAAGTAACATTCAAGATTGTGAGACAATTTACTCCTTCTTTTGAAATTGAAGAACAAGAAGAATAAATTTATGGTTCACCTTCAAAAAAAAAATATTAAACGAGAGAAACCAGCAAAACTTGTTGGTTCGGAACAGAGAATTTTTGATTACTTCATCACCAATAATAAGAATATATAAACAATGGAACAACATCAAATGTTGCAGAATTTGTTGAAGGAGAAGAAGAATCTCTCATCAACAACAGCACACGCCTTGAATTCATATAGAAAAGTATTATATGTTGGAAATTTATCACAACAAGTCACTAGAGATGTATTATACAATTTATTTATTCCATTCGGAGAAGTATTGGAAGTAACAGTGCCTGTTAATCAAGTCAACAAGGAGGAAAAGGGATTTTCAGGTGCAAATACTAAACATCGTGGATATGCTTTTGTAGAATTTGAACTTCCAGAGGATGCCACAGATGCTCTAGAGAATTTAAATAATGGTGAATTATTTGGAAGAATTATAACAGTTAATTATTCAAAAGCTACAAATCTTTCCAGAGAAGCCTTTTCTGATCTCAATGTTCCACTGTGGAGTTTGAATGAATCATCTGAATCAAATAATAATAATACTGAATCATCGAGTGATAGCAATGAACCTAATGTTGCAGTTTTGGAAACAGAACCATCTTTAAAAAAGACTAAACTTTCATAAAATAGACCTTTTTAAATTTCCATTATTCTTGTCAACTGAGGAACAAGCCTTTTTTCAATTAAAATTAAAAATCCAAAAAAAAGAAGAAAAAATGTGGATACTCGAACCGTTTGTTTCTTCATCACAAATTGCTTCGAATGCAGCAGGATCAAATTTACAAATTGTATATATGGTTCCGAATAGATCCTACATTGTTGGAAGAAAGCGTATGTTTATTTTCTGAGAAGAAGTAAAATTTAATAATTTGATGATGATAATAGGAGATGAATGTGAAGTATTTGTGGATAATGATAAAAGTATTTCGAGGAAACATGCTGTGATCACTGTGGATGATTTATCCAATATCAAACAAGCATTGATTCAATTTTCTGATGATCCGATCATCAAGCCTAAACTATCAGTGGAAGACTTTTCAAAATATGGAACATTTGTTGTGAAAGGAACTGGTTCTCCAGAGAAATTAACTACAAATACCAAGACTGATCTTGATGGAAATTGGAGAATTAGATTTGGAGTTTATCAGTCAATTTATATGTATGTATAATGCAAAAATTTGCAATTTAACTTTGGAAATAGGATAAAACATGAACTGATGATTTTCTGCGTATCTAGATTAAACGAACAAGATAGAAAGAAACTGGCAACACAATGCAAGACCATTGATGCCAAATATGCGACATGTTGGCATCACCAATGTACTCATTTAATTGTTGACGAGAAGGATTGTATTATTACTGAAAAAATTGGACTGGCATTGTGCTTAGGTATTCCTATTGTGACAATGGAATATGTCAATCAATTAGAAAAGTGTCTCACCACTAATCTTAGACAAACAGTTGAGCTACCAAACATTGAAAATTACTATGCTTCTGCTGAAAATTTTAACTGGAAAGCTTATGGATTGACATCAGCTCCTGATTTTAAACCAAATCCAAATAGGAAACAATTATTTTTTAATAAGCATTTCTCGACTATGAGTGTTGAAATGGTAAGTCTTTACTCAATACATTATATGAACTTTGAAAAGTGTCAAAAAATAATGCCAATAATTGAAAGTGCTGGTGGAACTATTGATAATTCTGAAGAACAAATCGATGAAAAATTTGTTAATAATTACCTATCATGTCCACAGTTCGATTGTATTATAATTGTAGGTTTCATTCCTTTTACATATTCTAAATATTTCAGGAAAATATGATAGACCCAGAAACGCTTGAAAAACTCAAATATTATGGATTCCAGTTATTTGATGAAAAGGCTATTATGGCTGCCATTCTTTTAGGTGATGCATCTAACTTGAAAACAGTTAAATTACCTAGTATTCCAGAACCTCCAAAACCATCTCCTAAAAAAGGTGTTAATGTTATGAGTGATGAAGATAGAACAGACGATGAGTTGGAAATGCCAGAAAATAACAATATTTCGTTCGAAAAGAGCCAAGAACAGAAACCTCAAGTGGAAGAGAACTTTGAGCCACCATCAAAGAAAACTAAACCTAACGAAAAAACTCAAGAAATAGAAAAACCGAAAGTAAAGGAAGAACCAAAGAAAGGTGGAGGAATTGAAATACCTCTTTCTTTGGCAGACGATTACGAAATGGAAGAGCCAAAGAAAATTACTCCCAAGAAGGAAATCAAAATTGAAAAAAAGGAAGTTAAGAGAGAAAAAGTTGTTAAACCAACATTTGATCCTGATGAACCAACAATAACTGTAGAGTATATCGATTTGATTAAGGTTAAAGAGGAAAATAAGCCCTCACAAACTCCAAATTCAAATTACCCACAGAATGGCTATAATGCTAAACGATTTAGAAAAGTTATATATGATGGGTCAACAATTTCTAAAGGTTTGAATGTAAATTTGGTTGCAAATTCTTCGTTGGTCGAAGACTCTGTCAATTTCGATGCTGACCTATCAACACCAACCAAACCTAAAGAAATCAAATTGGTTGCAAAAACTGAAACCATTCCAACATTGGAAAAGAAAGAAACCAAGAAGAATTCTCAGAAAAAGGAATCACAGAAAAAAGAAACTCCTCCAAAGAAAGAGTCTAACATTTTGGATGCAATTGGGCTTGATGATGATGAAGATGATGACGATGATGAACCAACACTTCTTGGAGTAAGGAAAAGATAAAATTTATCTATTTAAATTGAAAAATTTAGATAAGGAATCAATGGTCCTTCTTCTATTCTTCTTCTTGATTACTTCATCCAGAGAGGATTCATCGTAGTCATCCTCATCTATCAGCTCTGAATGTTTTAGAGGAGAATATAATGCTTCAGCTGCCGAAACACTTCTCTTATCTCTTGTATTTCTAGAGGTGTCACTGACAATTTCCATCTTCTTAAAATCGGCAATATCTCTTATCGACTTTCTATGAACCATCTTGATTTCTTCTGGACTAACATCATATGTCTTGAGTTCCTTAATCGACTTTACATTGACAGAATAGAAATGGAATTTTAAGGTATCATCAGAATCCTTTCCTCCCAAAAAGAAAACTTCTCCTGTTTCTTCACAATAAACAGCACTCATTCCTACAAGTTTTGGTAGGTGACTTCCAAAGAATAGATCAGTAATTCTATACCATTTTCTTTCTAAAATTTGATACATATAAATATGGGAATCAAAGTCATTATTACGCAAAATGTTCGACCCTCCAGCCAAGATGATTGCAGAATCCTTGGCAAGTGTTGTACAATGTGAAGCTCTTGCAGATGGCACTACAGTATTATCCTTTGAGAGTAATGGCCTAGACCATTCCATAGTGTCCATATCAAGAACATAAAGAGCATTGGTGGCACTTTGTCTTTCATTTTCTTCGTCCGCTGTCAAACCACCGAATATATACACCAAATTTTGAACTACATTACAGGTGAAACAACACAATCTGTTTGGAACTTGATTATGTGTTTCATTTTGATTTGTCTTATCTACTAATGTTACATATTTTCTCATATCTACATTTCCTTTCGTTTCTACAACCATCCATTGATTGCTTGCAATATTATATGCATAGAGCCCAGAGAAATAAACTTGCTTTCCTTGACATCCACCATACAAATAAATATTACCCTTATAATGCCACATTTGACCACCTGAATCTAGATTAGTTCATCAAAATTCGAATTATAAACAACATACCAGCTCTAGGATCTGGACACAATCCGTTAGTTTCAATGTGAGTCCATGAAAGAGTTTCAGTATCGAAATAATACATTCCATTATATACTGTATGATTAGATTGAGGCGTTGCTTGAGAATAACCTCCAAATACATAAATCCTTGATCCAACGATACAAGAAGCAGTCAAGGCACGAAGAGTTGGAGCTTTACCCGAAGGTTTTTCAATTTCGGTCCAAACCTTATTGACCATATCGAATATATATACTGAATTAATTTTAGTGCTATTAATGGGTCTTTGGCCAAGAAGGACATAAAACTAACATCATAAGAGAGAATGAAAGCAACCAAACCTACCTTTGATCCAATTACCCCAGAGACATGGTAGCATAAACCACCTGTATGATTGCCTTTAGATTGAACTTCATATATTTTCATTTTTTTCTATTCTTAATTGAATTATAAATACAAATGGAGCGTGATGTTGCTTATCACTCTGAAAAAGTAAACTTCTCTACAAGTTTTTTGTAGTGTGGTTGATTGCTGCTGAAGATAATAGGAGAGATAGACGACCCGATCTTTTTGAAATACCTTGATGGTTTTGTTTGTTTTTTTATGAAGAGTTGTTTTCTTTTAAAAACAGGAGAGAATAATCCATTCATTGTTTGTGTAATTTGGTCCCTTAAGAACTTGAAGAAAACAAAGCGTCATTTTGATCCACAGCACGGTTGGTTTATTAAGATTGTCTTGTGAAAATCAAAAGATGCTTTTTGGCATTTACTGTTCCAATTGAGGAACCGTTATGATGAATTCACAGCAAGCCAAGGTGACACAAGTTGATGTGTTAGAAACAAGTTGTCAATGAGAGATATGTGGTTATTGATGGTCATGAAAAAGTCTTTATTAAGGTAAACGCAATACCCTTCACAATAGCTGTATAACTTCATTGGAAATACATTGTATTATAAAAACAATAAGGTAGTGACACCCTTATTATGTTGACTTGTTATGTTTTCCTGACAACTACAAATGTATGTGCATGTATTTTGAAGGAATATCAATACCAAATATCACCATCACATGATCAACACTGCTCACCACAGTAACAATTCTCTTGTTTACAAAACAACTGACAGACCAACAACACTTATAGTTAGTGGCCAGACCTATTAACATAATACCAATAACCACTTTACATCATAAATGTCAATCTGCAATTGATTCTCGGAAGTTGTGTTCGGAAGCAATTTATTATAAAAAATGTCTTCTAGTACTGATCAAACACTTCTGACTCCTGTTCAAGGAGGTGCAACAGGACCAACATGTTTGGAAAATACAAAATACAAATGGACTCAAGATATTACTTCTATCATGATTGTTATTCCTTTTGAAAATCCTATCACCACCAAGACAGTGAAAGTTAATTTTGAAAAGAAATCTATCAAGGTTACAGTTGTCGGAATTGAACAACCAATTATTCAAGGAAAATTATGTAAAGAAGTTGATGAAGATGAATGTTATTGGCAAATTGAGGATAAAAAGGAATTAATTATTAATTTACAAAAAGTTGTTGGAATTTGGTGGGATTACGTGATTGAAGGACATCCTAAAATTAATACATCAGTGATTGATCCTCCTCAAGCAAGTATGTCTGATTTAAATCCAGAGATGAGATCTACTGTTGAAAAGATGTTATTCGATCAAGCAGCAAAAGCAACAGGAGGTAAAACATCAGAAGATAGAATCAGAGAAGAAAATATTCGTAAACTCAAGGGTATGCATCCAAATATTGATTTTTCTGGAATGGATTTTAGCAAGGCACAATTTAACATGTAAATTTTGTTGTAATAAATTAAATGTAAATAATAATTAGTTTTGTGTATTAAAATACAAGTTTGTGATAGGTGTCAATTACAACTTGATCCTCTTCAAATCTTGTCCTATTTCTTCAGAGCTTAGGCCGAAATTCATGCCTTCCACAGAGCAAGGTATTCTCTTTTTCTTACTGTAAGTCTCATAGGACATGTTAATGACATTGGACCATTTTTCACCATTTCCATAAGAGCTATTGTTGGCTCCACTTCTTCTATTTCTTGTGAGTTTTCTTCCAGGTTTTTTATCATCTTCGGTTTGAGTTGGTTCATTCTCTCTTCTAACTGTACCAAATTGAATCAAATCATTCAACCGTTTCTCTTCCTTTTGAGTTTGAATTAACAAATTTTCATTATAATTGTTAATATCATTTTCAAAATCTGATTTGGCTTGTTGAATATCACTACTATATATTTCTTCAATGTTTTTCATTTGCATCTCCTTGTATCTGAGAGCAAGTAATAATTTCTTTTCCTTTAAATTTTCAAACAATGTGATTTGTTCAGAATATCCAGGAACACTTTCACGAAGTGCCTTGTCTTGGTTTGGATCATCCCTTTTTGCCAAAATTTTTATTCTTTCTTGTATTGTTTTCAATTGACGTAAGAGTTCTGGATCTGTTTCATTCTTATTTTCTTCCTCTTCCACAGTGGTTTTTCTGATAAATTTTCGTCTTCCTGGTTGGGCTTCTTCCGTCAAGGTTGATGATGATGTATTGTTTTGATTTGTTTCTTCAGTCATTTTTTTTGTATCACAAATTTTTAACCGCCAAATTTTTAATAGGCTGCCAGCACAAGAATTAAGCTTAGAGCATCGTCATTTTGAATTAATTAATATTTTAATAATAATTAATTCCAATAATTGACTCTGAGATCGAGATGAATTCAAGAAAAGACTCTATTACGTTTATTCTGGTTGATTTTATAAACAGGAAAGTTCTGTTTTAATTACGCCCAACAAGATCAATTCAAACTAACGCACAGGAATTGCTCAAGATTGAAAGAAGGATTTTATTGAGGTCAAAGTAGTTAGACTTCGTAAAGAGACAAGCCATTCAGTTAAAACGTTTTTCTGTTTCGTAGGTCATCGATGCTTTCATTCCAAGATAAGGTCAAAATAATATTCATTCCTAACCAATAAACTATTCTAAATTTCCTTTAAAATTTTCCAAATCATTAACTAGTGAATTCCTTATTGGATCATATACTTTTGATATTTCTTCCCAATCACTGTATTTTTCCTCTCTCTGAAAAATGTCATTAAAATACATGTCACAAACATGCCAATCCACTATTTTTCCATGATTAGCAATCTGCTTTGCGTAATGACAAATACGAAGTGTGTGAATAACTCGTTTCTTAGCTTTGAATATGTCAACTTCTGGAGGATCCCAACCCCATTCGTGTTCATAGAGTCCTTTACAAAATTTCCATACCATGCTAGAGAATGGATTGAATGAATCAATGATTGATTTTGGATCAATTCGATTTTTCATTTCTGGAAATTCCTCTGATAATTTAAAGGATTGTTGAATGATAAATCGTTGATATTCTTCACTCTGCTCGAGTAAAAGAGCCAACAATTCATTGAATTTGTTCTTTTTCAATTGATTTAAAAACTGTTGTTTCGAATAAATTGAAATATCCAATTCATATTTGGGTATTTTCGAAAAGGCATAGGTTACATCCCCAGTTTTCAGATTCTTCTTTTTAATAATTGATTGAGAAATCTGTTCCACACTTGTATCATCAATAATATTGCAATTAGGATTATTATTGCTTAATAAACCCCTTCCTTTCAAATATCTTGGTAATAAAGAATCAAATGTTTCAGTACAATAATTGTCCTTCTGATTGGTAATAAAGAGCAAATGTTCAGGCTCCTCTTCAAAATCATAAATCATCAATAAATCATAATCACTTCCTCCATTCACTTTATAGACATCTGTACAAGGTTTTCCGTACAATCGACTTCCATACACATAAACATTTAAAATCCTATCCTTCTCCAACAAGCCATCAAATTCATCAACAATTTTTGGAACATCCAAGGTGTCATTCTTCATCAAATCCAACAAGTACTGTTTGTTTTGGCTACATCCGATTGTATCCTTTTCAAATTCACACATTTTTTCATGATGAACTTTTGCTGATTTACCACACGAAAATGCACGATAACCATTTTTCAAAGCATTGAAAGTGTTAGGGCGTAATGTCTGGCACTTGGTGATGGAAAAGGATTTAAACATTTTTTAATTTAATCATTTTGATAGGTTATTCAATCAGCTTAAACGAATCAGTTCATCACAATTCAAAAACCGTCACTCCACTGAAACAAATTACATAGTAAAAAAGAATAATTAATAATTATTATAATTAAAAACAATTTGGATTGAATATTTTATTATTCAATTTACAACTTGTTCCATGAGTCAATTTCGCATGAAGAAACACCTTCCATGACAGCTTCTTCTTCTTCTTCATTGTAGAAGAGGGAGACAACTCTATCCAAAGGAACAGCATCATCATTGTGGATGGTGGCAATAACCTTGAGCATCTTCAAACCATAAGCCATTTCTTCTCTTCTGATTTCACCCCATTCCAAGAATTCAATGTTGACATCTCTGATTCTCTTTTCCAAGTCAGTCAAATGTTGGTCCATTCTGACGGCCATTTGTTCAGCGGTTTCATCATCAACATCTGGAAGATCTGGTTTGACGGAGAGGATCAATTGGGACTTGGTAATCTTTGGAGCCATTTTAGTTTGTGGTTTTTTTTCAGAGAAAAATTACGAACGACTACCGATATTTTACAAAAGCCACGCATGTTGTTGGCTGCTTCAACAACAATAATGAAGGAAGATGAATATTCGCTGGCTAAAAGAGAAAACTTTGTAAAGTGGTGACCACTTCGATAGGTGGTTGACCAGGATTGATAGTCGATTTTCCAAAACGAAACTACTACCAACATCAGAAATTATCTCTTCTAGACTGTTTTATTGTATAATCTTGCAAGTAAGGTAAATGCTCAACTTTGAGAATATTATTATTCACAGAGAAATAACATCATGCAGATTTTTGCAGATATTTACGTCTGTTGTTAAAATAACAATGGAACACTGCGAAGAAAACTCCTGATACACCAATAGACTTCTTTTTGCCTTCCACATTAAAAATCACTTGAAAAAAAATTCCTTCTCCGTTACCGTAGGCTTCTCTCCTTCACACCCCTTGTGTGATCAAAATTTATTTATTTTCGGATACTCTCTCAAGTGTATATAAATTATTATTATTATCAAATTTAGAGGAATATGAATCGAAATTTGAGACCATCAACACAAGTTGTTGTTGATGGTAAATTGATGGTAACATTGATTTTATTTATTTTAACATTGATTGGATGTGTGTTATCTGAAGTTGTTATTCCAATCAATCAGGCACAAGAAGGACATGTTGAAGCAGGCAATTCAGTCATTTATAAATTTGAAAACATTCCTGAACTTGCCACTGACAACTCTACACTCTCTTTCATAGTGACTACTCTTTCCGGTGATGCTGATATTTATGTATCTACAACAGGTGCTCCAGATTTTACTAATCCAAACACCTATCAATGGAAATCTGTTATTCAGGACGGAACTGATACTGTCACTCTCTCAAAAACAACAGAAGGATATAAGAGTGGAGGACCATATTATGTTGCTGTGAATGGTTTCCAAGGTCCAGCCATGTACACAATTATTGGTTTACATTCTGATAATCATGTTAAAGTTGTTCAAGGTTTTCCACAAAATGTTTTTGTAGGATCCGGACAGTATGTCTATTTTTCATATGATGTGACAAGTAATGGATTATTTACAATTTCTGTCACTTCTTTATACGGAGAAGCAAATCTTTATGTTAGTACAACAAATCAAAAGCCAGATGCATCATCATATAATTATAAAAAGGAGTCACTAGGAGATGATTTCCTTTCCATTACACACTCTGGTGAAGTTCCAACCACTTACTATATTGGTATTAAAGGAGATCATAGTTCACAAACTCAATTCAGCTTACAAATAACTTCACCAGATGTTCAAGATATTATTGCTGATGGTATTCCTCTTTATGCCAGACTTTACAGCAGATCCACAACTTACTACAAATTTTTCTTATCAAAAGTTGTTCAAGATTTGACAATTACAGCTGACAGAAGAACAATGCTTGGTGATCCAGATATTTTTGTTTCAAGACTTTACCAATATCCAAACTCATCTGCTTGTGAATGGTCTCACTCTCTTCATGGTACCAGTTCTATCCAAATTTCAGAACCTGAACATTTGTACCCAGGTTGGTTCTATATTGCTATTCACGATGATTCCGTTTTTTCTACTGACTATGCACTTTACATTTCTTCAACTTTTGCTCACACTAGACTTTCTAATGGTCTTCCTCTTTCAAAACAATTAATAGGTTATAAGACTGATTATTATGCATACTATGTTGAACCAAACAATCTTGGAGGATTTACTACTTTAGATATCTTTGTTACAAGTGCATCTGGAGTTCCTTTAAATGTTTATGGAAGTACTATTAACAGATATCCAAATGAAAATTCTCATGACTTGGTTGGTACTTTTAATGGAGCCTCATTTGTATTACACAAGGATGACTCTCCATCTGGAATGTACTATGTAGCAGTTACATCCACCACAAATAGCAATTATACCATTGTTGTATCATCTGCCAATAGATTTATTGAATTAGTTGACACAGTTCAATATTCTTATACAGTTAATAAGAGAGATTATAGAAAATTTGTTCTCCCAATTTCAGATAATAGTGTTGATGTCAGTTTTTCCTTGTCAACTATTAGCGGTGATGCTGATATGTACATTTCAACCAATCAATTAGTTGATAGAGCCAACTACAAATGGAAGGCAGCATCTTACGCAAGGAATGAACTTATTCATATTGCTGCAAATGATCCTTTAAGACATAGTCCTGAATTTGATGGAAGTCTTTATGTTGCCGTTTATGGTTATGCCGCATCTTCCTTTAGTATTGTGGCTTATTTACACACAGGTCAACCAATAGAATTGGAAAGTGGAGTTCCTGTATATGGAGTATTGGAGAATGATATGTCTTCTCAAAATTACAAATATTACCTCAGTACAACCAGAGATTTGAGAATTGTTGTACAACCAGGAAGTGAGTCTCACGACCCAGATATTTATGTCAGTAGAACCAATCCTAACCCAGGACCATCTAGTTATGACTATCGTTCTATTTCAGTTGATGACGATGTAGTTAGTATCCCTTCTGCACAACCAGGCAATTATTTCATTTCTGTTTATACATTCTTCCCAAATACCTCATACATTCTCACTGTTTCAGCTGGATCAATGGAATTACGTACTTTTGGTATCCCAATTATTGATACAGTAGCAAAAGGTCAAACCAAGGACTATTATTCAATTCTTTCAACAGAAAACTTTGTTATTGGTGTTACTCTTATTGATGGTAATACAAACTTGAAAATTACTAACAATACTTTTACCAAATCTGATAATGGATATCCAGGTAATTATGTCTCTTTGAGCGCATCTGAAATTACTGAAGTTGGTACCTGGAAAACTTCTGTTTATGGTGTAGAAGATTCAACTTACTATATTCATGCTTCTTCTTTGAGCTTCCAAGCTGAATTGAAGGTAGGTTTGCCAGTTATTGGTGAAGCTTTCTGTTGTGGAGAAACAGGTTCCCTTTTTGCTTACAATGGAATTTTGGTCAGCAATACAGATTATTTGGTTTATGTTAATTCACTGTATGGAGAGGATAGCTTTACTGCTGTCTATGTTGATCAATATCCTAATACCAATCCAACTCCAACAAGCCACAAATGGTCTGCTCAAGGAAGTGACGACTTGATTGTTAAACTCCCAGCCAATCAATTAGATGTTGTAAAATCTCTTTATATTTCTGTTTACTCATACAGAGGTTTAGCTAGATTCCATGTCACTTTGGAACAATCTGGAGCTCCAATATTTTTGACTTCTGATTCTCCTAATTATGTATTTGGTAATCCAGACCAATCAGATTATTTTAAGGTAATGAGTTTAAGAAATTCAGCTGGACTTAATGCTGTTTTGGAATCTTGTAATGATTTGGAAGCAGCACCATTCTATGTTTCCAACATTAACCCACAACCAACACAAAATAATAGCTATGTTTCTCAAGCTGATGGTAAATTTAGACAAATTATAACAACAACCAAGTCTGAGACAAATACTTTCTATTATATTGGTACTTCCAAGTTGCAACACGCATTGCCTTATACTATGTTTGCTACAACAGGTACTGATAAGAGACCAATACCAAAGAATAATGGTGTTCTCATTCCTGGACCACTCATGTCAGTAAATAGCAAGAGAATTTCAGTTCCAAGTGTTGAAGGAGACTCTCAAGGTGTTTCTTACTTGGTTTACAAACGTATATTAACTCCACAAGAAGACCCAGCCAATGTCAATATGCAAACATTGTGCGCAATTAAGGAAGAAGCTCAATTGGTCGGAGAAATTGCTACACCACCATCTGGCGCAGATTTCGTTGATTATGATGTACCTGTTGGATTTAATGAAAGATCTGTAATTAACGTAATCGCCAAGAATAGCTATGGTGTTTCATCTGCTTATAAGCCAATTTTCATTGGAATTGATAACAACGATTATCTTATTGATGGTGTTTCCCTTCTTTCATCAACCAATGAAACTAACAGATGCTCCCAATTTATTTTCACTGCCACACTTTTGGATACTGAGACTGTATCTTTTATTGTTACCCCTTTCTCTGGTGATGCCGATTTATTTATTGCTAATAAGCCACAAGCCTCTGAATCTAACTTTGTTTATGCAAGCCGTAATCACGGATTTGACATTGTTTCGTTCACTAAAGGAGATCCTAAATATTTCCCTGGCCCATACTATATTGGAGTTTGTGGATTGAATGATGGTATCACTGAATTTAGCATTATCGCTTCAACATCTAACAATCCTATTAAATTGAAGGATGGTCAACCTCAACTTATGACAACCAAGACTCTGGATTACAGCTACTTTACTTTTGACCTTGAAGGATCAGATGATTTTACCGTAACTGTCACACCATTGACCGGAGATCCAGATGCTTATTTGAGTACAAATCCTAAACCATCAACATTTAGCTTCATGTGGAGCAGTGAACAAAGTGCTGTTGAAATTATCAATGTTAAAAGCTCAGACAATCAATTCAAACCAGATGTTACATATCATTTGAGCATTTTTGCTTTCTCCGCTGATACTATTTATTCAGTTGTCATTACTAGAAATACCTCAATTTCTACTTTGATGCATGGTGTTAGTATGGGAGGTAGAGTTCAATCACCATATTCATCCTATTATAGATTCAAACTTACTCATCCAAGTAATGTTACAATCACTGTTAATCCATTGAATTCATTGGGTGATCCAGACATTTTTGTTTCAACTCACGACAATAATCAATATCCTGACTTTTTACATCATGATTTCTATGCCTTCTCCAGAAGTGTTGACACATTGACAATCAAGACAACTGATCAAGGGTGGAGAATGGGATGGTATTATATTGCAGTTGCAGGTTATAGAGAACAAACAGAATTTGAAATTACTGTTTCTTCTTCAGATGAAGTAATAGTTCTTGAAGATGGTGTTTCCCTTACCACTTCAAGTTATGTTGATGAATGGAAGTATTATGCTTTCTTCTATGGATTTGATGCCAACTCACTCACTTTCAGTGTTAGATTAGGTACAGGTATGAGATCTGAAATGGTTTGCAGTAAGACTAACTCACACCCATCAAGAGACAAGTATGACTTTTTGGGAGAAAACACTGGAGCTGAATTGCTTGCTGTAATTCCTGAAAAATCATCTATCGGATGGTATTATTGTGGCGTTCATACTTTCACTGCAAGTGACTATTCAATCACTGCTTTTACAAACCAAAGAGCAAGATTATTGCAAGATGCTACTATGAGTACAAATAACAATGTTAGAGCTAAATATTATGTTTACTTTACCTATACCTTACCTCCTTTTGTTAACATGACTGACATTAATATTGTAGCCTACATGAATCAAGGAGATGGTGATCTTTATGTTTCCACTAAGACTAATAGACCAACAGACAAGAATTATCAATGGCATTCCACTTCGAGTGTGAATGAAAATTTGGTCATTGCCAAGAGTGATATTGGTTCTGATTCCAGAGAATTATTCATTGGTGTTCATGGTTGGTCCAACGCTTTGTTTGACATTGTTGTTTATGGTTTGGATACTGTTTTAGATCTTAAAGAAAATAGTCCAGTTCTTGGTGATTCTCAAAGTAACAGTTATAAGAGATACTCATTCAAGCTTGAAAATAGAGGTGTTTTGAGAATTGATCTCTCAGTTTTGTCTGCTTACCCATCTGATTGTGATTTCTTTGTTAGTATGACACCATACCCTACCAAGAATCATTACACATGGAAGAGTGACAAGTTTGGAGATGATACACTTCAAATTGATGAGGCTGAAGCTGGAACTTATTACATCTCAGTTTACACAACATTTATTGCTTCTAGCAAATTCTCTCTTACTGTTTCTTCTGCTTATTCATTGGTTAATGATGGAGGCCAAATTCTTGACTTTGTTGATAGTGGTGCTGTAAGACGTTATAAGATTTTGATTCCAGAACAAGCTGCATCTATTAGTATTACAACAGTTGGTATCAATGGTAGAACAGTAATGTATGCTAGTAACAATGAAACTTTCCCAACCAAAGATTACTTTGTTGCCTCCTCAGATACTGTTCATGGTAATGGTATTTTAGTTCTTAAATCTGATTCAATCTTTGCAACTGGAGTATGGACAGTTAGTGTATATGGTATAACTCCTGCCTCTTTCTACTTGTCCTATCAAACCTCTCAAGGTATTTTGAGAGCTGGTGTTCCACGTGTTGGTATTACCACTCTTACAAATACTGCTAAATACTTGTTACCAATTTCTAGTGCTCAACCATTGTCTATCAGTGCTAGAGTCTTTGATGTTGTGAATGACTGTATTATGGTTAATGCTTATCAAAATCCAAGTGTCAAGGCTAGTGCCAAGTCTGATCCTAGAATTAATAATGGTGTTCTTTTGGAATATGCCCAAATTTCTTCAACTCAACTCTTGACTGTTGAAGTTTCTGCATGCTCTAATAGAGTTCAATATGAGATTGTTGTCGCAGCTAAGGATCAACCAACCTATTTGTCACAAGATTACTACTCTTTGTTTGTTTCTGAGGCTAACACATTTGATATCTACAGTCCAAAATCTGCTCAAGCTTTAACTGTTCAATATGATTCTTGTGATTCTACTTCAATTAAAGATACTCTCAAGGTTTTCATTGGTAAGAATAGAATTCCAACTTCACAAGATTTTGATCAAGTTGGTGTTGCCAGAAATAGATATTCAAGCAACATTGTAGTACAAAGTGCTGTTCCAAAAGCCAATTACTATGTTACCACTGTTGGTACATCTCCACAATTCTTCTCTCTCTTTACTACTACCTCCAGTCCTGATCCAAGACCAGAAGCTGTTCCATTCACTGTTAAGCCAACAAATACTGTTTCAAAGGATGGTAAAACTCAACAAGAATACAGTGTTTCCATCGATGTTCCAAAGAGTAAGGACCACACCACCTTCTATAAGGTTGTTGCATATGGTTTGAGTGAAAAGCATAAAGGACAATCCGATGAACAAGTTATGTCAAGCCTCAACTTCCACACTCTCTGCGCCATTAATTCCAAGTCAAATTTACAGACCGTTGGTTATGGAAATAGTTTGAGTTCATCATTGACAATGTCTTTGTTTGCTGATGAAGATTACATTGTTAATATTATTACTTCATATGGTGAATCTGGTCAACTTCAACAAGTTTCTACTCCAATAATTATCAGAAGAAATGATAGTGCTGTAAGCCCAGGTGGTATTATACTTCTCATCCTTGTTATTTTGGTTGTTTTGTATTTGTCTATTGGTTCTATTGTCAAGGTTGTTAAATATAAGGCTAGAGGAGCTGAAATTATTCCAAATACTGGATTCTGGAAAGAAGTTTTCAGCTTATTCTGGGAAGGTTGCCAATTTGTTTTCTTGTGTGAAATGTTCAGACGTCGTCAAACTTCTGAATATGACACTATGGATGAGGAAGGTGTTGCAGAGGATAACTCAATTAATAACCCAGACGCTTATCAAAATAATGGTGAACAAGATGATGATGACGATGATATTAACCCATTTGCTCATTCCACAAGACAAACTCCAGAAAATGGCTACACAACCATTATTTAAATAAATTATTTTTTATTTAGTTCCTTTTTCAGTTCAGCACATTCCTTGGTCTTGTCCTCCAATAGTTTTTCTAGCTCTGCAACTCTGTTTTTCAGAATTTGTACTTCTGACAATGGAGATTTTGTTGCTGGACTAACTGGTGGTGTTGAAACAGATGGTGGAGTTTTTGTGGGTGTTGAACTAGGTGGTTGCCAGAAACCATTATTAAAAACATTGTTTCTTCTCTTGCCAAATATATCAGGCTCACCAAGCTCCAATACAGCATTTCCTACAACGTCTTCCCTTGTTGCTACATCAGTATGAACCACTACAGTATCTCCTCCTAATCCCAATAATTGAGCCAATTCGTCATCCATTTCCTCTCCATTATCTCCTTCATCACTGGATCCTTTTTCTTCCTCTTCCTCAGTATCGGATTCAAAAGTTTCTGCTCGTGACATCACTTCTGGTGATGATGACGAAAATATGGATAACCATTTTTGAGTATCAGCATTTGTTGGGAATGCAAGAGTTTCTCGTGATTCTCCTTCATTTCCAACATTCAAGGTAAATGCCATCTTATGATATTCATTTTTTTGAGTTCCAGTTGGTATGAAATCAGTGTAATATTTTTCTCTCGTAAAGTCAACCCTGCATCCAATAACATCAGCTACCTTAGTCTTCTTATGTGAAGTATAAAAAAGTAATTGTTTGTTCAAGAGTTCAGCATAAACTATTGATGGCTTTTGATATGTTTTGATATGTGCCTTTTGGTTTTTTCTAATTATGTAACCTTCTTGTTTAGTGTCTGAAATTGGTGGTTTTGGTTGTTGAACTTCTTTTTGTATCTTGCTTGAAACCAAGTCTGTACAATAACAATACACGTTATTTGTAATTTTCTCACTAAACTCTTTTGCCTCACTAATGTTGTGTAATAATAGAATTATTAACTAATTAAATATAATTAAAAAACTTACTCTAAAGATCCGAAAATAAATTGTAACTCTGGTACAAAGTAGGATTGTTTTGCTTGTTTGGCAGATGTTGGTTGACTCGATATTGTTGAATTATTTCCAACAACAGTATTATTTGATTTATCGCCCAATGAACTAGAAGAAAGCTCTGCAACTGTGACCAGCACTCTAGAATTCACTGATTGATTAGATCCACTCGATATAGGTGTATATTTAGCACATGTAAATGGTGTAATTTTAAATGTTAAAGTATGTTCCGATTGTTTTTTAATCAACAAACTCTTTCCTTCCTTCAACCGTAAACTACACTTTACCATATGCATTCCTTCGTTAGTATTTACAGATTTCTTCTCCACTAAAATGTAGGCCTTCCCACTATATCCAAGATAGCCATGATCAGCAGCAACAGAATTCGATGGAGAGGACAATGGAGAAACCTGCAGGTTTGGTGAGGGGCTACTTTGAGGCATTTTTAATGGTTGATTATTAATACAAGTTGATGTCGTCGCACTGCTGACGGTTGTGGAAGTGGTGTCGCTTAGTGATGAAGAGTTGTCGTTAGATGAAATCGATTGGTTAGTAGTGTTGGTGGTGACTGTTATAGTTGGTGATCGAGAGGTATTGTTGGAGAGTTGGAGATGAGGTGGTGGGAGTTGAGGCAATTTTTGATTCTTGTATTGTTGTGGGTCGTGACTTGTTTGGTTTGTGCTTTCTGGAACACTACTACAGGAACTAATTTGATCGTAACTTGAGGATTCATCCAAGTGGAGAGGAATGGTAAGCATTGGTGGATAGAGATGAATATCAGTACAACTTTTGTGCTGCCGATTGATAAGGGAATAGTGAGGTGAGACTGCATGGTGAGAATTATTGGTTGTTGAGGCAGCAGAGTCAGATGCTGATGAGGGTGAAAAGGGAACCTTTGAGGAAGATGAGGGGGAAGATAAGGAATTACTACTACTGCTATTACTATCACAACTCATTGGAGAGAGTGGAGAGTCAACCCAAGAATCATCATGTTGAAAACTTAAAAATTGCCTAAATCTTCCATTCATTAATTTTCTACTTGGTGAGGGAGTTCTCCATTGAATGTGAGCATTTGAAGAATTGGACCTAGACAATTTGGCACACATGTTTGGATTCTCTGGAGAGTTTTTGCTGCAATTTTTTCTTTTAAGAGAAACGTTGTTGTTGAGGAAGCCGAACCGACAGCAACGTATAAAAGTGCCTGCAATATTTGTGCTTTTCTTCTAAACTGAGCATGCGATCCGGCATTTTACTCTCGCACATGTGTAGCCAAGTGAGAGTCGGGCAAACGTTGAGGAATCAATTGCTTACTTTCAAATGTTCCTTTTTCAAAACGATTAATAATCAACGTGCAAAAAGTTGTTAGAATTGATAGGGAACAAGGCATTTATTAAGAATGAAAGAAAAATTTGAACAATTCTCATTCAGAGCACTGAAGAAAAATGAAGCCCAGATTGGTCAATTAATATTTTAAAGGAATAAAAGTTAAAGTAAGGCTGTCCATTGTTTATTTAGAAATTTACATATTGGGAGCATTACAACAACTGTATTTGAGGTTGGAAGCTTTTATTGAATAAATATGATTGCTGAAATGTTGATCAAAGAGCGATCCTAACTATTGATTATTCCATTGTCATAATAATTACCATTTGATATGCTAAACAATTATACTCGTTGCATTTTGATTGTGTGAATAGATGAGATGGAAAGCAATCTTTTAAGAATGAATGGAAAATATTACAAAATTCAACATCATCACATATTTTACAGCATGGTCTGGTTTTTATTTACCCTTAATTTCCAATTAGAAAAAATATGAAATAAATACAATCTTTAAAAAAATCATCCCTGTATTATTAATACACTCTATAAAGACAGAAGACAATTATTTAATATTATTGATGAAGACAAAAACAGAAGAGTTTCAACATGATTACAATGAAAATGATCAATTGTATTATCATGATCTTTTAAATCTAACTCCGAATGAATTCTTAGCCAAATATCATCACAATAATAGTAATAACAATAATACAACAACAACATGCAATGAAAGTGTTAATTTACAAGTAGAACAAGAACATCCAGAAAGCAAATCCAACGTTTTTATTTCCTCCGATGTAATGTGTTATATCATCATGACCTATCTAGATTGGAAAACAATATTTACAAGTTGTTTATTGGTGAATAAGGAGTTTTTCAGAAGAATTGCCAATAATCGTCAGCTTTTTATTCAATTATTTAATGAATTATTTGTGATGGATCAGAAAATGATTGATAGTATGACAAGTAGATCGACATTTAAAAAAACTTTAACTAGTAATAATAATTTCATTGTAAATGGAGGTATTGGAATACCAAATGAGCATTATCACATTTGGAGAGATGGTTACAATAGCTATTTATATGCAACTGGTAAGAGATTTAAGCAATCTTTACAAAAGCATCATGTCAATAATTCGATAATGACTGATGCCAAATTGAGATTAATTAGAGAAAAGTGGAATACTGCCATTTCTGGAAAAAGCCAACAAAAGAAAAATCAAGTGAGATCTAAAAGGGATGAGAATAAATCCTTGTTAAATCTCATCAAGAAGATTATTAAGGATCGATTATTTATGAGAAAGTACTTTGATGGTGATAGGTTTAAATCTAAGAGATTTGAATTTCGTGAACAGATTTATTTTGAAAAGAAACTTCAAGTTCATGATTCTCTTCTTCGTTATACTGATCACAAGAAGTATTTAGCTAAATTGGAGGAAGCCAAGAAATTGTACAACAATCAAGACACATTGGAGAAACAAATTGAAAGTTTAATTCATTCTGAATATGAAAAGCCAGAGATTGAGGAGATTATAATTGGAGATTTACATGACAATAGTGGACCAACTGATCTATTTCT